GGCGCGCGGGCCCGGGCGCGGGGTCGAGCGCCGCCCCGCCCCCAGCCGAGGTCCGTGCGTTTGCTTTCGTAACAGCTCGAGGCCTAGAAGGAAAGTTGAAGACGTTGGAAATTTGGCGTTAAACAGGGAATTATCTTAGGACTCATCTTTGCGACCGAAACTCGAGTGCGCATCTGAATCACGGGGTAGGATGGGGATGTCCTGAAAGAAATCGTTCTTTTTCTAAGCGAAGCCTGGTAATCTGGACCTTCTCTGGAAGCTTCATAGAGAACCTGATGGTTAGGTAGATTTGGGAACCCCTGGTCTGGCAAGTTGCCATGCACAGCTGGCCTTACTGCTGGGTACGGGGAGGCCCGGCTGCCCTGCACGAGGCGAGACCCCAGCTTGAGGCACGTCTCAGCTCTACACCAGATCTGAACTCGGGCTGGTGCCTGGTGGAAACAGTTCCTTACTTCAGCCGAGTCTGTGTTTCAGCTCTTAAGGGAGGGTAGAACTGACGAAGGATTTCTGGTGGGAATGGAGGGGGTTGGGGGTTGAGAAAGGAGTGTGGATCACAGTTCCCTACTTTGAATCCCTCAACTAATGTTGCTTCCAGTTTTCAGGGGAGCTGACACCCAGCTCTCTACAAACTCCCGGATTAGGGAGAAACAGTCTGTGCCTCTACCCCCAGGAATCCTACTGACGGTGTAAAGTGTACAGGACTTTAGAAAGAATCTGATCAGAACTTTGCCTTTCTTTTACATGTTCCTTTTTCCCCCTATTTTGCTTTTTTCTCCATTGTCTACTTTTTTTTTTTATCTCCGTCTTCTCCCCCCCCCCCTTTTTTTTCTATTGGCTATCTACACTTTAGCTTTGCCAGTAGTATGTATGTATTTGTTAAGTCCTACAGTGGCTTATAAATTTATGAAAGGGGGATCTTCAGTGTTTTAAATTAAGGCGAATCTGAAAACGTGATTAAAAAACACAAAAGCTTCTTATTAATAGAAAATTAAAGCTGTGCCTTTGAGATGATTTCTTTTTTTCTCGGCACGGAGTTTTTAAAGATGCTATTTATTAAGGGCTCTACAAAAAATTAAAGTAGATATGAGAGTCATTGATCGGCTACCTCCTGCACACCCCCCACTGGGCATCTAGGCCAAACCTGGGCATTCACTGACTGGAATAGAACTGTGACCTCCTGGTTCTTGGGAGGATGCTCAGCCACTGAGCCACGCTGGCTGGGCTGCTTCCTAGTTTTTTACAGACAAACCAAATGAGCTTACAGACATGTAGGAACAGTTTGCTGTACAATAAATAACTCTACTAATACGAAACCTAACTTTTTTTAAAACGAAAACAATTTTTTTTAAATTTGGTAAAAAAGGTTCTTTAAGAAATATGTTACGGACGAAATAAAAAGCTTTGGTTCACTTGCATGTATGTGCAGTATGTACGTTTTATTTGCATAGACAGTTTTTATAGCTTATTGAAATATAATTCAATAGCATAAAAGTCACCCTTTGAAAGTATATAGTTCAGTGATATATTCAACCCAAGTTGACTATATTAAACTACTACCTAATTTAGAACATTTTCATCACCCCAGAAGACGCCCCACACCCACTAGCTGCTACTCCACATCCTCCCTTCCCCCCCAGCCCTCTGGCAGCTGCTAATCTATTTTCTGTCTGTTGATTTGCCTATTCTCGACATTTCATGTAAATGGAGTTATGTATGTGGCCTTTTGTGTCTGGCTGCTTCCACTTAGCATAATGTGTGCAAGGTTTATATGTTGTAGACATCAGAACTTTATTCTTTTATTCCTTTTTATGACTGATTAATATTCTATTGTATAGAATATGTATTTTTTAAATTCTGTTGTGTGTATTGTATACCATATTTTGTTTATCCATTCATCATCTGATGGATATTTCTATTTCCTCTTTTTGGCTATTATGAATAATGCTGCTTGCATAGACAGTTTCTTTAAAGGGCATAAAAAAACCTGTTAACTACTTTCAGGAAGTATGAGAAGGAGACTTACTAGTTACCTTTTTGTACTAGGTGATTTTTTTTTTTTTTTAACCAAGTGCATATATTTCTAATTAAGACAAAAAAACTATCACTAGTAGTATGGCCTTGGGTAAGTAATTGTACTCTCTGGGTTTCAGTTTTCTCATTGTAAATAAAATTGGACTAGATATTTGTCATGGTCTTTTTCAGTTCTCAATTTTATGCTTTTATGATCAAATGAGAGATAGTATTATCTTCTTGAATGAGAGTTATAGTCTTTATAACTTCAGTGTAACTTTCAATTTACTTTTATCATAGGACTTAGAGTGATTATTACAATGGAAGAAATCAATAATTTCAAGACACCAAGCAAATTATCTGAAAAAAGAAAATCTGGTAAGATATAAAACCTTTCTTCATTGTTACTGCCGTTAGAACTGTCTTATTATTCATTGCTCTTGTGAGGGAAACATATTTTCCAAGGCAATTCAAAGGACAGAGGATAAAGTCCTCAACAAGTAAAAACAATTGGATATTGATATGCAAATTGACCTTTATCTCACGTCATACACAAAAATGGTCAAAATTATAAAATTTCTAGAATATAACAGGAGAAAATCTTATGTCGTTCATTTTTATATATAGATTTTTGTTTATTGAAATTGTGTCCTGCAACTATGCTAAACTCACTTATTCTGGTAGCTTTTAATAGCTTGCTTAGGGTATTGTACAATTGTACATTGTACGTAGCTGGTAATATTGTAGATAAATAAAGACAGTTTTACTTTTTTTTCATAATCTGTATTACTTTATTTCTTATGGCACTGGCTCCAGCATATTTTATAATAGATGTGAGTAGATATCCTTGCCTTGTTCATAGGAAGTTTTATATTAGATGTAGAAGGGGTTTTTTGTGTTTTTTTGTAATAGACTCTGTTTAGAGAGATTTCCCATACACCCCTTGTCCCCACACAGGCATAGCTCCTCCCTGCCCAACAACGTCCCTGGCAGAGTAGATGTAGGTTTTTCACAGATGCCCTTTATCAGGTTGAGGAATTTTCCTTTTATTCCTGGTTATCATGAATGTGTGTTGAACTTTGTCAAGAACTTTTTCAGAATCTATTGGGATAGTTTTCTTTTTTAGTCTGTTGATATCGTAAATTATGTTAATTTTCAAATGTTAAACCAACCTTTCACTTCTGGGGAAAGCCAACTTAGTCATGATGTATTTTATATATTGCTTGGTTCAACTTGCTAATATTTTCTGTGTTCATGAGGGATGTTGGACTATAACTATTTTTTTTTCTGGGTGTTTTTTTTTTTGGAATGTCTGTCTACTTTTGGTATCAGGGTATTCTGTATTCATAAAGTAAGATGGGAAACGTTTCCTTTTCTTGAAGAGTATATGTAGAATTGATAGTATTTCTTCTTTAATTGGTAGAATTTGCCAGTAAAGCCATGTGGGCCTGGAGTTTTCTTAAGTAGGAAGATTTTAATTGCCACTTCACAGTTAATAGATACTGGGCTAGTAAAGTTATCTGTTTCTTCTTGTGTAAGCTTTGTTAGTGTTTTTCAAGGAATTTGTCTATGGCTTCTAAGTTGTCAAATTTATTGGCATAAAGTTATTTATGATATACTCCTATTACCATTTAATGTCAGCAGGATCTGTGGTGATACCTCCTTTTTTGATTTCTGGTGTTTTATATTTTCTTCCTTGATCAGACTAGATCAGTTTATCTATCTTGGTGAATGTTTCATGCACTTGAAAAGATCCTATTTTCTGCTGTTGTTGGATGCAGTGTTCCATAAATATCAGTTAGGTCAATCTCAATGACTTGTTTATGTTGTTTTGTTTTGTTCAGGTCTTCTGTATCCCTACTGATTTTTTGTCTACTCTATTACTGAGAGAGGTGTGTTTTTGACTACAATTTTTGATTTGTCCATTTTTTTTCTTTCAGTTCTATCATTTGTTGCTTTATATATTTTGAAGCTTGTTATTAGGTACATACACATTTAGGAAGGTTATTTCTTTGATGAATTTACCCCATTACTGTTATGAATTGGTCTTTTTTAAAAATATATCTTTATTGATCTCAGACAGAGGCAAGGAGAGGGAGGGAGAGAGAGAGATAGAAACATCAATGATGAGAGAGTCATTGATCGGCTGCCTCCTGCACGCCCCCGACTGGGGATTGAGCCGCAACCTGAGCATGTGCCCTGACTGGGAATGGAACTCTGATTGCCTGGATCCTAGGTCGACGCTCAACCGCTGAGCCATGCTCGCCTGGGCATGAATTGTTTTTTTAATCTGGTGTTGTACTGTCTCTTCAAAGTTCACTTTATGTGATATTAATTGAGCCACTCCAGTTTGATAAGTGTTTGAATATTATGTTTCACAACCTTTTTTACTTTTAACCCATTTGTGTCTTTATATTTAAAGTGAGTTTACTATATAGCATGTAGTTATATCTTGTTTCTATCCTGACAACTGCTGCCTTTAATTGGACTATTTAGCTACTGTCCACATGTGGCAATATAAATTTCTGTTCAAATGAATTAAAATTGAATAAATTACAAATTTAGTTTCTCAGTTGTTATTAGCCACATTTCAAGTGCTCAGTAACCACATGGGACTAGTGACTACTGTACTGGACAACACAGATATAAAATATTTCCATCATGACAGAAAGTTCTATTGGACAACATTGTTTAGATCATTAACATTTAATGTAATTCTCTGTGGTTGGATTTATATCAATTTTTCTACTGTCCCATAGCAAATTGGTGATTTCTTTATTTTTTTCCTTATATTTTTCTCTGTGCTTCACTGTTTGTTGCTTTGTCTTAAAATTTAGTGACCTTTTGCTCTAAGATGGTGTTATTTTTGTCCCCTGTATTTTTACATTTCTTTAAGTTCCATTAGGATCCTTTTTTACTTCTCTATCTCAACTTGTTATGCTCACATTTTCCTTTACATTACTGAGTGTATTTTTTAAGATTTATATTTGAAGGCTTTTATCGGCTACTTCTTCATCGCTGTGATTTTATGGTATGTTTCTGTTGGTTTATTTTTCTCCTGGAATGGGTCATATTTTCTTGCTTCTTTCATAGGGTAATTTTTAACGGGCTGTGAGACATTTCACATTGTTGAGTGCTGAACTTTGTTATTCCTCTGAAGGGTGTGTGATTTTGTTGTGCCCCCCTTGCAGTTAAGTTTACTGTGCATTAGCCTGTTTCTTTTGAGGCTTGCTTTTAGGCTTTGTTCTAAACTTTTTCCTTGGGCTAAAATTTAGCTGTATTACAAAGTCATGACCCTTTAGAAAACTTTACTCAATAGCTTGTGTTACAGAGTCACCGCACACTGGCTGATGGTAAGTGAATTATTCCTAGACCTGTGTAATCTCCTGTAATGATTTAGCCTACTGTTTGGGTTTGGTGTTTTCCCCAGCTTTGGGTAGTCATGTCCGTGATATGTGCAGAAAGTACTTAGTCAAATGCTTAAAGGGAGACCCCTTTTTAGATCTCTGGAGTTTTTTCTCTTATTTTGTGGCCTCCTCTTTAGTTCTCTGCTCCATAAATTCCAGCTATTTAGGTCTCCTTTACCTCTGATCTGTCTCCTCAATATGATTAGACCTCTGAGCTGTGTGTGTTTGTGCTGTGGCCTGGAAACTGCCTTTAAGCAGTAAATTAGGGCAGTGATAGGGCTCACCCCATTTGTTTCTCTTCTCTCAAAGATCACAGTCCTGCTCTGCCTATTGTCAGGTATATGAAAACTGTTCTATTTTGTCAAGTTTTCTAGATGGCAATTCCAAGAGCAGTTGATTATTCATTAGCAAAAGTAGGACTTCTCTGTCTCATCTTTTTTTATGACTGTATAATGCTTTGTGATATAGATATACTATAATTAGGATTACTAAATAAATAGTGATTACTAAGGGTTTTGTGTGTGCATGTTTTCTGAAGCCACAAAAGTGAATCCCAATATTCCAAATATATATGCTTGCACACATGTGCGTGTATGCCTTTCGGCACATGCTGTGCTGAGGTGTTGGCAAACTCTTTGTAAAGGGCTAGATAGTAAATAGTTTAGGCTTTGTGGGCCACATAAGAACACTATTGCATATTCTTTTTTACCTATTTTTCTAATCAACCCTTTAAAAAACAATTCTTGTGGGCTATACAAAAACAAGCTATTTGCTGACCCCTGCTTTAGTGTTACTATAAGATAGAGCTCCAAAAATAGACCTGGTCAAGGAATCTCCATTTAAAATTAGGATGGACAGTGTCAGATTGCTCTCCAAAAGATTATGCCAATTAGTACTCTTAACAGTAGTGTGTTGCAAATGTTCGGATGTATTTGTAGAGATCTTTTCAAATACTAATTTTTTATTTCTTTCTGACATTTAGCATTATGTTCAACTCCATGTATAAATATTCCTGCCTCTCCGTTTATGCAGAAGCTTGGCTATGGCACAGGGGTAAATGTCTACCTTATGAAAAGGTGAGTGTAAGATTTTAGATTAACCTTTTTACATGGAACCCTAGTACTTGGAGGCCACTGTACTTGGAGACAAAGGAATATGAAAATTCAAATATTTAGATTTGAGGTGTGTTCCAGATCCTACCTGACTGCTATATTCCAGTCTCAGAACCTTTTATAACTTTACCAGAGCTCTGCCTGGTATACTTTCCTTCTAGCTGTTCTCCTGATGGACTATTAAAGGAACTGTAATTTACTGTATAATTTTCTCTTGGCTTGTATGAGGAGGGAATCAACCTGATCAACACAGCATGTTTTTAGGTTTATATTGTTTCTAGATAGAAATGCATTCTTGAATAAAAAGCTAATAAATTGAGACTAGCATAGCAATATTATGAAGTGGGTATTCTTGAAACATTTTTGCAGTTTAAACACCCCTTTGTGTTTGTATGCTGTTTTGTTTTTCAGTGCCTGAAAACTCTTGTCTAAGTTATTTTGAAAGGAAAAAATTCTCATAGGTTCATGGCTAATCTCATTTTTTTCCTTTCTTAAAGAAAGTCTTTAAATGTAAAGTGTGTTGTTAACAGAGTTATACTGTATGTAACTTAATCAAAAAGCTTTATATGGCAGCTGATTGAAAAATAGTGGTCCCTGCCTGATCGTACCACACACTCATAATGTGTCCCTGGGATGTTCCCCTCCTGGTAACCTGAATATTTCCTTTGCTTCTCTGGTAAATTGGATACTCTGTTGTGCTGTACCTCATGTCTTAACTATTTCTTGCTTTATATCTTGTTTTGTTTGAGGACATCTGGTAGCTCCCTATGAAAAGGTGCACAGGAGATACATTTTTGAGAATTTGCATTTCTGAAAATGTTTTCATTTACCCTCATACTTGAATGTCCCTTTTTGGTTTTCTGGGCCAGAATTCTCATTGGACATAATTTTCCTCCACACTTTTGAGGGCACTGTTCCATTATCTGTTAGCTTGTAGTATTGCTGAGAATTTTGAAGCCTTTCTGATTGCTGATTCTTTTTGTTATCTGTTTTATGTTATCTCTTACTCCCAGTGTTCTGAAACCTTGTATGATCTTCTGTTTTTCACCAGTGTTCTGAAATTTCACCGTGATATGCATGGATGTATGGATGTGGGCCTCCTGGATTCTGAAAATTCCTGTTCTTAAATTTTTAAGAAGTTAGTTTTAAAATTACTTTGTTGGTGATTTGCACCCGTTTTTCTCTTCTTTATGTGGAACTCCTATTATTTGAATGTTGTACTTAATGGAGTGATCTCTGGTTTTCCTATTTTCTCTTTGTTCTATTTTCTCGGAGATTTTTCCAACCTCATCTTCTGGTACTTCTATTGAGGTTTTCATTTTTGTCTATCTTGTTTTTAATTAATTATCTGAAAGTTTTCCTGCTTAAAATGGCATCCTGTCTTTTAGGAGTGCTAGAAATACTCTGTATCTTGATCTGGATGGTGATAACGCATTAAAACTCATTGAGCATTTACTATGCACAAGGTCATGAATTACTGTGTTCCTGTATGGTTCACAGATATTCAGCTTTGCCAGTAAACCTCAAACTAAATACCCTCTGCTTTAGCCCCTTTCAAAGCTAATTTTCAGTCTTGAGAAGCTGGTGGGGATAGGGAATGGGCAACTTCCTAGAGATACAGAATCAGGGAGGGTATCTAGGAATCCACCTGCTTTTTTAATAACTTTCAAGAAGTTCATTGGGCATGTTAAGTCATTTACTTTCATCTGCTTTCCAGCTTCCAAAAGTTCGTTGCTGTTATCTCTTCTTTATTTCCATCCTTTTTGGTGGATGTATGTCTTAAACTATCCTTTTGCTTTTATTTGAGTGAGGCTTCAGAGGGATCCAAATTATATGTGTGTGTTCAAGCTATCATTTTGATCTAAAAGTATATTTTAGTGTTAAATCAAGTTTGCATCCCTAGATTAAACCCAACATAGTTTTGATGTATTATTTTTTAAATATACTGATAGATTCAGTTTGCTATTTGTTTAAAATTTTTTCATCTATGATATAACTGAAATTGGCCTGTGATTTTTATTTTACTGCTATTTCTGTTTGATTTTTTAAATTAAGGTTATACTAGACTCTTGCTCCTTTTCTTTCTATTCCTTGGAATAGATTGAATGATAGGTTCCTTGAAAGTTGAGTAAACGCACCTGGAATGTTATCTACGCTTTGTATTTCTTGTGGGAAGATTTTAAATTCTTGATTAAATTTCTTCTTTCATCACTTTTCTTAGTTTTTTCTAAGAATTTGACCATTTTGTTTTTTAAATTTATGAGTGTAAAAGTTTTATTATTTATCCACTTATACTTTTTAGTCTCTGCTGTATCTGTAGTTATTTCCCCATTTTTTATTGCAATATTATTTGTGCCTTTTATTTTTTTCCTTGTGCATTCCCATCAGAAATCTGTTTTATTAGCTTTTTCAGTAAATCAGCTTTTAGCTTGGCAAAGTATTTAATTCAGATTTTGTAAATATGTTTTTTCATTCTATAAATCAGGATATATTATGGAAAAGGTGAAGGATGGACTTGGTCACTGAATTCTAAACATCCAAGAGTTATGGGATACCCACTGAAACTTGAAAATTATATTTTCATAATAAAATGACATGAAGGAGGTTATCCCCAAATGCTATTGTTATCTGAAACTGGAGGTGTAAGAATAGTTTAGATAATGTATGGATGATGTATATGAATTAAGAAATCTAGTGATCCTTTGAGTACATGTTTTTTGATTTAAAAAAAAAAAGGTTCTATAATCATAGAGCTATGCTTATGAGGTAGTACAAAGCTAAGTGAATTCTTGGTTCAATCTGTTATGTTCTTATGGATTAACTTTTGAAGCTCTTTTACTAGCTTTTGTTCCTGTAATGCTGCATACACTTTGCTTTCATAATTCACTGTACTCATAAGTAAACGGCCACCTTGTTAGGTAAACCTTTCTCTGACTTTATCTGTTTGTTTATTTAGGCCTCAAAACATTTATACTTTAAATATTAAGATGGCTAGTCTTCTTACAAAATAGATAGCTTACATTTTTTTCTCATTTGTTTCTTTATTATTATTGCCTTAAGCTCATGTCTTTGAGTAGTCAGTGAAAGGTATAAGGTGGATTGGTTAGTGAAGAGACATAATATTTGTTGGAGAAGAACAGTCTGTTATTTGGATGATTACATATGGGCCAAATGTTTCTTGTATGTCTCTTCTTTAAGTTGTTTCTTAGAGATTAGTGTTTATTACTTTAGCATTCTAGAACTCATCTGTGGTACATATAGTAAAATGTTTGATAAGTAGTTGGTAGTGCAACATGCTTAAGTAGAAAAATTTAAAAATAGTCTTGAAGTTTAAAAATTATGACATTCCATCTTTTTCCTTCTAATTCTCTTTTTGTCCCCTCCTTTTCACCAATAAATATCAGACTACTTTTGTAATCAGTAGATATATCAGCTATTTATCTCCCAATTAAAAAGGAAATGTAGCAGAGGTGTTGATAGTATAAAATTTGTAAGTTTTAAAAAAAAAACCACATTATCAAGTTCTTTTCAAAATTTAGAAGTTCTTGTTAGTCATTTGCAATGTATTATATTTATTAACCTTTATATATTTTATAATTAATAATTTTTTAAAGATCTCCAGGAGGCTTGTCTCATTCTCCTTGGGCTGTGAAAAAGATTAATTCTAGATGTAATGGTCATTATCAAAGTATGTATCAAAAGAGACTAACTGATGAAGCTAAGGTTTTAAAAAGCCTTCATCATCCAAACATTATAGGTAAGTTTAAATTTATTTGGTAGCAGTATCTGGTATATTATTCTGTTTATCAGAAACAGTTTATATAATCTCTTAACCAGTTTCAGTTATAAAAATGAAAAGGATGGTGGTAGAGTTTGGTAAGAATCAAATTAATGTGGACATTCTAAAAGTATATAATATTTTTAGATGCTTAAGTATATATTTAAAACATGGGAATAGTTACAGTCATTATAATGCTGGTACTATGGAGAATTCAGGAATATAAAGTGATTTTCATTTATGTAATTTCCTTGTTTTCATTTTTAATATAAGTAGGGCTTATGAACCATTATATTTAGGAATGCATAAAATATTTTAAAACTTTAATTTGTGATACTATTTGTAAACAGTGAAGGCATTTTAAATTAGATTACTGAATTAGTTTCATAAATAATAGCTGTTTCATTGTATATTTGTCAGTGTTAATCCAGGTCCATTTTCAGTCACAGTACTATAAAAAACTTAAGTACTGTTGTTCTTCCCTATCCTAGTAAGAAAATGTTTGTTTCTTTAAGGTTATCGTGCTTTCACTGAAGCCAGTGATGGTAGTCTGTGTCTTGCTATGGAATATGGGGGTGAAAAGTCTCTAAATGACTTAATAGAAGAACGAAATAAAGACAGCCAAGGTCCTTTTCCAGCAGCCATAATTTTAAAAGTTGCTTTGAACATGGCAAGAGGATTAAAGGTAACTATACCATTATATTTTATGTGATTTTTGTGGAACATTAAAAAACTAAATATTTTAATGTTCTAAATCTGTTTTGTCCATCAGTTTATTATGTTCTTTAGATTCCACATATAAGTGAGATCATGTGATATTTGTCTTTCTCTGCCTGGCTTATTTCATTTAGCATAATATCCTCCAGTCCCACCAGTGCTGTCTCAAAGGGTATGAGATCCTTCATCTTTATAGCTGCATAGTATTCTATGGTATAAATGTCCCACAGCTTTTTTATCCACTCATCTACTGATGGGCACTTGGGCTGTTTCCAAATCTTAGCTATTGTAAATTGTGCTGCTATGAACATAGGGGTGAGGAGAGATTAACCAAAGAATTTATATGCATATATGCATAACCCATGGACAGACAAGAGTGTGGTGAAGGCCTTGGGTGGGGGGTGGGGGTGGGGTAGAAGGGGTCAATGGGGAAAAGGGGGACACCTATAATTTCAACAATAAAGGTAAATATTTTTTAAAAGACATAATTTTAATAAAAAACACACTAAGTACTTTATATACCTAGTTACATGGTAGGATTCTCCCCAACCTCCAAAAGAAGGGTCTGCCTTAAGTGAGAGTTGCCTTATGGAATCTTTTATATTGCAGAGAGCACTATTTCCTTATTTGACCAACAGAGTTGACTGTTTGAGGTCTTCACATAGTCTGAAATAATGAAATAACCCAAGTCAGGTAGTTTTGCTTACAGAGATCACGTTAGATTTAGTTGTAAAAGGGTTAAATTTAACACAAATTTACTAATTATTCCTGGGAGTGTAGCCTAACCCTCTATTGATGTAAACAAGCCTCTTAAAAATTGCTTTGTGGGGTAAGTTTTGGGCATCATGAATACTCATCTGTAGGTCAAATGAAAAAGTCTCAATTTTATGCAAATTATTGTGCATTTGGATGGACAGTGTTAGAAATAAAAAGAATTCTATATCCTAAATAACTTAAACATAAGTATTGATGGCCCCAGAAACCTGTCAGATGACTCAAACGCAGATCATGTAATGATACTGATGGCAAAGTTGCATGTTAAGAGTTGAAATAAAGTTGACTTGTGAAACTGGAAAAAGGCAATATTTCTAAATATAACTATTGTTAATATGTGTATAGAAAAACCAATTTTAAATGGATAAACTAAATCATTAATTTGAATTTTAATAAATGATTTAAAATATACATAATGGAATTAATGTATTATGTAATATATTCATGCATATTCTCTTTATGATGGGCAACATTTAAATTAAGCACAGTGAGCATTTCAGGTTACATTCCAAGAATTATCTCTGCATCATTTTCAAACCCAGTCACAGTAGATGCTAAAATGCTGATCAATGAACAAATAACTTTTTTTTTTTTTTTTTAATATATCTTTATTGATTTCAGAGAGAGGAAAGGAGAGGGGCGGGGGGCGGAGAGAGAGAGAGAGAGACAGAGAGAGACAGAGAGAGAGACAGAGGGAGACATCAATGATGAGAGAGTCAGTGATTGAGCCCGTGACCCGAGCATGTGCCCTGACCGGGAATCGAACCCCGATTGCCTGGATCCTAGGTCAATGCTCAACCGCTGACCCATGCCCGGCTGGGCACAAATAACATTTTTATAGGACATTTTTTATTATGAATATTATTAGTTGTCAATTCTAAGAAAGGGTTAATGTGTAAAACAAAATAGTCTTAGATTACATTTCTGCTTCCTCTTTTTGTGAATTATGTGTAGCCCTGAGTTATCTATTGTTTTGCATTATCTCAGTTTGAAGAAAGTATGCCTCATTGTGAAGATTCCAAAATTATTCCTAAAAATTTGTAGCCTCAAATAAAATTGCAGTATATTTTGATACCCATAGCATCTTTTTTTTTTTTAATCCTCACCCAAAGATATGTTTTACTGATTTTTAGAGAGAGGAAGGGGGAGCGGGAGAGAGAGAAACATCGATGTGAAAGAGAAACATGGATTAGTTGCCTCCTGCATGCACCCCAACTGGGGATTGAACTCAAAACCTTTTTGGTATACGAGGCGACTCTCCAACCAACTTAGCCATTCAGCCGGGGCTTCTGCTGTAGCATCTTTTGATATAAAAGTATTAAGATGGGTTTGTAAATAAAAAACTTACCTATAAATAGACATCCATTTCCAACAAATCTTTTACATTTGTGGTCAGTAATTGCAGACCAGGATAACATGGTATGTTTCCTTCTCTAGTTTCAAATAATTTGAAATGATGGACAGGTATAATCCTGTAGTTTAGGAAGGGAGTTCAAATTATATTTGTTTGAAGGTTATTTATATATATTATATATGTATATTTTTTTAGTTTGTATTTTTGCTCAGATGTGTTAAATTTTCCACTATCTTAGTATCTGCACCAAGATAAGAAATTGCTTCATGGAGATGTAAAGTCTTCAAATGTTGTAATTAAAGGTGATTTTGAAACAATTAAAATCTGTGATGTAGGAGTCTCTCTACCATTGGATGAAAATATGACAGGTAAGTAGTATTCTAATTTTTACATTTTTAAATAGATAAGTTCACATTCTTTAAAAATAAAAAAACTATTAATAAAAAAAGTGTACAATGAAAAGTATTCCTCCTGCCCAGCCAGCACGGCTCCGTGGTTGAGCATCAACCTATGAGGTCACGGTTCAATTCCTGGTCAGGGCACATGCCCGGGTTGCAGGCTCCATCCCCAGTGGGGGACCTGCAGGAGGCATCCGATCAATAACTCTCTCTTATCATTGATGTTTCTATCTCTCTCTCCCTCTCTCTTCTTCTCTGAAATCAATAAAAACATTAAAAAAAAAATCTAACAGTATGTAAAAAGGATAGTACATCTGACCAACTACTGTTTATCCCAGGAAAGAAAAGTTAATATTCAAAAGTCAACGCAATTCACCATGTTAACAGATTTGAAAACTACATGGTTATCTCACTACACATAGAAAAAGCATTTGACAGAATCCATCTTTCAGTCATGATAAAAAAGACAACTCTTGCTAAATAGACATAGAAGGGAACTTAACCTCAGAAAGGGTATCTACAGAAAAACCTACAGGCAACATAGAGGACAAGGCCAACATGCCTGCTCTGGCCAGTGTTGTTTAACACTGTCCTATAGTCCTATTAAAGCAAGAAAAAATAAAAGGCATCAAGATTGGAAAGGAAATTGTTCATATTTACAGTTAATGTGATTGTTTAAGTAAAAAAATCTCAACCTACAAAAGAACTACTAGAATTAATAAGTGAAGCCCTGGCTGGTGTTATCAGTGGTTAGAGCATTGGCCCACGCACTGAAGGGTTGAGGGTTCAATTCCCAGTCAAGGGCACACACCTGGGTTGCAGGTCCCATCCCTGGCCCTGGTTGGGGTGCCTGCTGGAGGCAACCAATTGATGTGTCTCACATTGATGTTTCTCCCCCCCACTCTCTCCATCCCTTCCACTCTCTAAAAATCAATGGAAAAAATACCCTTGTGAGGATTAACAACAACAAAAAATAAGTGAAGATAGCTGTTATATTTTTATATATAGTTAATAATTGGAAAGTGAAAAATAAAATTTTATTTATAAGTACCAAAAAGCATAAAATATTTAAGGATAAATTGGCAAAAAGGTCAGCTATATACTGAACACTAAAAAACATTCCTGAGAGAGTTGAATAAGGTGTAAGTAAATGGAGAAAGATTATGATTATGGATTGGCAGACTCAATACTGTTAAGATGTTAATTCTTCCCAAACTGATCCAGAGATTCTGTCCAATCCTAATCAGAATTTTAGCTGGCTTTTTCATTGAAATTAACAAGTTGATTCAAATTTAAATGGAAAAGTGAGTGGATCTGATCTGTGTCATTCCTGGGCAGAAGGCAGTATGTGATTCAACCCTTTCCCGTTTCCCGATTTAGCACTCATAGAAGCATAGAAATGGTACTTCTCTCAGTCGAATAATAGCATAGATTGAAAAATGAAGAAACAGGCACAGATTAAATGATCTATTTAAGGTAACACAGCTTGCAAACATCTTTGAACCCAAGGCAAGGCAGTCTTTCTCCAGAGTCTGTACTCTTGACATCCACAATCTATTTATACTTCTACCACTTTCTAAAAGAATTGCTATTTCTCTACACCCTTGCCAACTATCCAGCTTTTTGAATATTTATCAACCTGGTAAGGAAAAAGTATTAATGAGGTTGAGTGTATTTTTTCATGTTTACTGGCTACATTTGATAACCTTTACCTGTCAAATAATTTGTTGTGTTTTTTTGCAGGATAGGGGAGGTTGTTTGCCGTTCTTAGTGGTTTCTAGTGCTTGCCCTTATGACNTTTTTTTTTGTTTTTTTTTGCAGGATAGGGGAGGTTGTTTGCCGTTCTTAGTGGTTTCTAGTGCTTGCCCTTATGACAGTTTTACTTGTGTTTTACTTGTTTCAGTAACTGACCCTGAGGCCTGTTATATTGGCACTGAGCCTTGGAAACCCAAGGAAGCTTTGGAGGAGAATGGCGTTATTACTGACAAGGCAGACATATTTGCTTTTGGCCTTACTCTGTGGGAAATGATGACTTTATGTATTCCACACATTACTCTTTCAGATGATGATGATGAAGGTATAACTACATATTTTTAATGTAAATCCCAGTCTGTTTGGTTTAAAATAAGATCAATTTATAAAATTATATTTTATTTTTCTATTAAGTTAATTTTTAAAGAAGCAAAGTGCTTGATTTAGTGGCATGAGATACAGATTATATTAATGCTGATGACTGATTTGGTACCATCTCAGTTTAATTTTATACAAATGAGATGTAGATTAATTCATTACAGGGAGATAAATTGAGAAAATTTGGAGGAGCAAAAAGTTACCTTAAAAACTGCCCTTGTATGCACAACCTAAAGACACGGACAGTGGTGGGGATAGGGATGGGACCGGGTGGAACGGGTCATTGGGGAGGAAAAGGGACATCTGTAATATTTTAATCAAAAATAAAATAAAAAAACTCCCCTTGCCTGAGAAGATTAGAAAGCTATCATAATAAGGGTTGATAACCATGGATTGAATCCATGTAATAAATTAATGACAGTAGCTAATCTATACCAGGGCAGGACAGCTGAGACTGTGGTATAATGAAAAGCATACTGGATGATGAATTCTTGTTTCAGAAGGGTGAGTTTGAGCAGTTGGTAAGTTTTTCCATGATTTAAAGTGATTTTGTTTCAAACTCCTTCATGAGCAGATAAAACTTTTGATGAAAGTGACTTCGATGATGAAGCATACTATGCAGCTTTGGGAACTAGGCCACCTGTGAATATGGAAGAACTGGATGAAACATACCAGAAGGTGATTGAGCTCTTCTCTGTATGCACTAATGAAGATCCTAAAGATCGTCCTTCTGCTGCGCACATTGTTCAAGCTTTGGAAATAGATATCCAGTGATCTCATATTCATAACGACCTGAGCCTCAAGTATGGCTCATGTATATAACTGTTCTGTTTACTATGGTATACATTTATATAGTTACTATGATAATCCATATTTATTAGACTATTTGAAAGTGACCTGTTTTAGAACCATAGCACCTTGTTAACATTTGAAAAACTTTCTATTATAAAGATATTTCATGCATCCTTATGATCAGCATTTGATATTGTAGTGGGTTTTCTATAAAGCTTAAGAAACTTTTAAGTTTAAGGAACAAGTATTGAAACTTCTTCATAGAGATTTAACAAAAAGCCTTAAACTCCTATGTCTAACATTAATTTAGGTAGAGGAACCACTACTTTTATTAATGATCATTCTTGAATATTCTGTTTTAATGGACCTATTTAAATTAGCACTTCGTAGTATAAAATAAGTCTACATTTGACTGTCTTTTAAACTTTGCTGGTCTTTCTTAGCTGATGTGCTTATTAAATACAGTCACTGGAAGCTGAGAGGATATGGCTCAGAGTAGCTCCTTGGGTATTTCTAGACATTTCCGGTTAAGGCTTCTTACCCTCTTGGTTCTCCCCAGATCGTTGGTTTTTGCTTTCATTTATTAAATGTTATTTCTGTACTGAGATTTTTTTTTATTTTTTACTTACTAATCTAGATCTTAAGCATTTTACAGTTCTGGTGTAAAACTAATAAAACTAATAGGATATAGAATAAAAGGAACTTTGGTTACCAGAAGTGTATTTACCTATTTTATACTCCACTGATCTGGCCCAGCCGGGCGTGGCTCAGCAGTTGAGCATCGACCTAGGATCCAGGCGATCAGGGTTCGATTCCCGGTCAGGGCACATGCCCGGGTTGCGGGCTGCAAGCCGATCAATGACTCTCATCATTGATGTTTCTATCTCCCTCTCTCCCTCTCCTTTCCTCTCTCTGAAATCAATAAAGATATATTTAAAAAATATATACTCCACTGATCTGTTATCATTAAAGTTGCCAAGTGAATGTGAGTAGGATTTTTTCTCTTTGGCCTTAATCTAAAATGAGGGTGATTTGTCTTTTAACCTTCATACTAGCTTTGTAAGTGATGGCTCTTTGAGGAACTTAATACACTTATCCTAAAATATATATGAAAATGCAGAGGACCAAGAATAAACAAAAATACAAAGTGGGAGAATTTTCTATACCAAATATCAAGAATATTGTATTGGCATAAAGATAACCAATAAGACTAGTGGAATAAACAGGCAGAAAGAGACCTGCACATATATGGACACAATTTTTGACAAAGTAAAAAGTAAAAAGCAATAAGTAAAAAACCATAAATAAAAGTACAAGAGGCTTGAATAGTCACAACCTAAAATGCTCATCAGTAGTATAAATTAGGGTGTATTCTCGATGGAATATTATACAGTAATGAAAATGAGATTCAGTTAGATACTATAATATAAATGCATATATATATATATATATACACACATTTATATATATATATATATAAAGGTTCAGCTTATGTAAAGTGTAAAAACAGACTAAAGACTAATCAAAAGGTAGTTACATNCACACATTTATATATATATATATATATATATAAAGGTTCAGTTTATGTAAAGTGTAAAAACAGACTAAAGACTAATCAAAAGGTAGTTACATGCTGTGGCTGGGTGGCTCACTTTGGTTGACATGTACACCAAAAGGTTGCAAGTTTGATTCCCTGTCAGGGCATACCTAGGTTGTGGGTTCCATCCCCGGTCGGGGTGCATATGGGAGGCAACCCATTGATGTTTCTGCCCCTTTCTAAAATCAATGAAAACGTCCTTGGGTGAGGATTTTTTTTTTAAGTTACATTTGAAGAAGGTGATGTAATAGTGATTGAAGGGGTAAGAGGAAGACTTCCGGGAAGATGACTGTTCTATTTTTTTTAACCTGGGTAGTAGTTATGAAGTTATTTGTGATAACTGGGTATCTTTTAAAAATTAAACCTTCCAAGAAGTTTTAGTTCATTGAAAAGTTGCAAGGACAATTCCCATATATTCCACACCTATTCCTCTATTAACATCTTACATTAGTATGTTTGTTACAACAAACCAATACTGATACATTACTACTAACTAAAATCCATAATTTATTCAGACTTAGTTTTTACCAGAAGTCATTTTCCTGTTCCAGTATTCCTTCCAGAATACATTATATTTAGTTGTCATGTCTCTTTGGCTGTAATATTTTGTCAGACTTCCCTTCTTGTTTTTTAGACTTTTTTTAGAACAGTTTTAGGTTCACAACAAAATTAAGAGGAAGGTACAGAGATTTCTCATATACCCCTTGCCACCACGTATGCATAGCTTCCCCTATTATCAACATCTCCCACCAGAGTAGTACATTTGTTGCAACTGATTAATCTACATGGACAAATTGGGGTTCACTCTTGTGTCCATTCTGAGTTTAGGCAAATGTGTAATAGCATGTATCCCCACCATATTATACACAGTATATACTGTATTTTCACTGCCCTAAAATTCCTGTGCTCCTACTCATCCTTCCCTCCAACCCATGGAAGTCACGTATATTTTTACTGTCTCCAGTTTTTCCTTCCCAGAATGTCATATTGTTGGAATTACATAGAATGTAGCCTCAGATTGTCTTAATATTCAATTATGGTTCCTCCATGCCTTTAGTGCCAAACAGTAATCCACTGCCTGGATATAGCTGTTTGTACATCTTTGTTGTTTCCAAGCTTTGACAATTATGAATAAAGCTGCTATAAATATCTGTGTGTAGGTTTTTGTGTGGATGGATATGTTTTCAATGATTGTTTTTATTTTTTACAAAGAATATGTACTATTTTTAAAAGTTTTTTACTTATTGATTTTAGAGAGAAGGGGGAGAGAGAAACATCAATGTGTTGTTCTACTTATTTATGCATTCATTGGTTGATTCTTGTATGCGCCCTGGCTGGAGATTGAACCCGCAACCTTGGTGTATTGGGATGACACTAACCAATTGAGCTATTGGGTCAGGGGGAACGTGTACTATTATAACCGCAAAAATTAACTTAAAAAGGAAATCAGTACATTCTATTGGATGAGAATAGACAAGGAGAATATTGAAAAAGATTTTAATTGATCCATCACAAAAGCATTGAACAAGCAAATAATATTAATAACATTTTTAAAACATTTAAAACAAAAAACATCAGTGCAGAAAATAAAAAGTTTGCATAATTACACACATTTTAACGCTTCCACATTCATTTTGGAACCCAGGCCTTTAAATTTTGGAACTATGTTAACTTATAGGCAAAAAAAAGAATGTAAATGAACATATTCTACATAAAGTTATAACCTGGGAAACTACTTCCCTAGAGTATTATTGCCAGGTAGCAATTAAATGGTTTTTTGAATCAACAATCTGAATAATTCTTTGCTTTTCAAAGTATCCAAGAATTATACTAGAAAACTATGATTTTTAAAGAGATTAAAACATTTAGGTATACTCACATGTCATGTTCTCTGACCCATCGGCCTAGATATAATATTTATTCACTAACCTTGGTTCTGACACTATACATTTTGTTAGATGTCTCAGAACAAGTAAGGTGTATTTTAGACATGCAAAAAAATTTTAAATGTAACCATATGAATCATCTAATCCCACTGGGCATCCATTTTGTTGATCATTTCAATTATCAGTAATAAGGTCATTAAAGTAGCACAATTAGCATATTCATACACCATAAGTTAAATTACAGTAGTGCAATTACTAAGTTTAACTTGAATTAATTTGGCAAGAACTGCTTTTGATTAATAATCTTTAAAAAGATGTAAAACATTAAGCTATAGAATTCTGTTCTACATAAAAGTACATGGAAATCTTATTCTTTACTGTCTTACTCTATTATACAAACTAGAAATTTGAAACACTTTCTAAATATATTCAACTTTGCTGCTACCTATAAGGTGAGAATTCTGTACAGAATTCAGGAATTACCTTTAAAAATTGGGCATGAAAATTATTTGTCTTTAAATTTTCCTATTTGCTTTTGATTGAGCATGAGAAATCCTGGTTCAGTGGTGCTTTATAAAAGGTAACTAGTCACATTTCTGTGGAAAACCCTTGCTTTGTCAGTGTTCCTATGTAAAAGGCAAGTAATTTTCCAGTTATATTTACAAAGTTTCATAATTAAGGATTCAGAGTAGTAGACAGTATATATACACCATCCAAAGATTTTTCCTTTCTTTGAATCTCCAGATAATTTTCAACAAATCTGTCCTTGACTTTTCAACTCTTATATAAGGAACAAAGCAGCCAGGTTTTGTGTGTGTGCCTGTCTCAGTACATTTACTAAATCGTTCTTATTGTATGGCAAGAAGCTGTCTTAATTCATCCATGTAGTAACTATTCTATAACTGAAATTGGTTTTAGTTATTAAAATTGTATACAAGGAAATTAGGGGTGTTGCAGTACTTGGTTGCAAATAACTTGCCATCTGGTGTTGGGTCAGAAAATGCTATTTCATCAGTGCGGAGAAAACAGCCGAACATGAAGCGATTCCTAAAAAAAAGAGGAAAAGGCAATTTAACAATGGAATCAAATTTAAATTTTGATTAAACAGCATAATTTATTTTAAAGCAATTCAAATATAAAAATTAAATCTCTTTAAATACTCAATTAAAATCAACATTTTATTGATAAAATGACTTAATGCTTTAGATTTTAGAAGTCTAGTATTTCACAGACGAGAAAACAGGTCCAGAAAAAAATCTGCTGAGGCAAAGGGAATCATACAAACTATACACCTGACTCAGGTGATCCATGATAATAAGCTACTAATAGGAGGTAATATTGCTAATTAAAAACCAAAGAAACCATCACCAATTTTAACCAAATGTGTAAGTAATTCTTTTCAACTACACCACACACTCAGAGCTCTAAGAAGGCAAAAATCTATTTTGCATTTTGACTACAACTCTCCTTGATACAGAGCTCAATTAGGATTAAAAGTAATAAAATGAAGTGGTTGAAAGAATTCAACAAAATTGAGGGATAGCCTATAAAGTAACTGGCCTGTATTCTTCAATGTCATAAAAGACAAAGCCTAAAAAACTGTTCCAGGTTAAGGAAAACAAGGACTAAAGAGATACGATGACTAAGTGCAATATATGATCCTGCACAGGGGGAAATACTGCTATAAAGGACACTTGAGACAGACAACAAAACTGAAATATGAACTATATGTTGGACAAAAAGCATTATATCAATATTAAATATCCTGAATTTGATCACTGAACTGTGCTTATGTAAGAATATCCTTGTTCTTAAGAAATATACACTGAAGTCCAAAGAAAGTACAGTAAATGTTAAAACTTGATGAATCTGGGCAAAGGCAATAGGGGGCTCTTTTTAGTATTCTTGCTACTCTTTGTAAATTTAAAATTACTTCAAAATAAAAAAATTAAAGAATTGCATCAATTTAGAAACTAAAATATAAGCTCCTGGTATTTACTATATAACTGAATACAAAGTTTATTGCTAAATGTCCAAAGCAAAATATTGGTTTGATTAAATAGTTCTTATTGACTTTATTAATGATATCAGCTATAGAAAAAATGTTACATCTGTAGGTTTGAGTCCTAACTGTCCTTTTACTAGCTCATCAGTGTAAGTTTGCACTTAATAATCCCATCTGAGCCTCAGGTGATTCTTCTGTAAAATAACTAGGAATAGTATTCTACTCGTGAGGATTTAAACATACTGCCTGTATAGTCAAGAGACAATTCAACCTAAGGCTCCTCAGGTAAAAGATAGCTGTCAATTATGTTATTTGTATCTTCAATTCAGATGTGTAAGAAAAGACACACATGTTCTCAAATCAATGCGTTTTATATTTCTCCTTTGAGGGCAACTTAATTTTTATTCATTACTGCTTAGAGATAACCTACTGCCTTAGTACTCAAAATATGATCTACAGACCAGCAACATTCAGCATCGCCTGAGAGCTTAACAGGAATGCAGAATCTCAGGCCACACAGTGACCTGCTGCACCGCACCTGCACTTTAACAGGATCTCCAGGTGATTCATGTGCGCTTTCAAGTTTAAGAAGCACTAGACCACTGCCTGGTGGAACTAGCTTAGAGACTGGATTCCTCATATCATATTTATTTATGTATCTCTTAATATAAAATATAGAAAATAGAGGTATTTCACAACTAACTATCCAATAAAAACCTCTATATAGATGCCAATTTTTCTCACTGCTTTCCTTTATTTTATTGTTGCGCGTGTGTGTTAATCCTCACCCAGGGATATTTTTCCCATTGCTTTTCAGAGTGGAAGGGGGGAGGGGAGAGAGACACACAGACTGGTTGCCTCCTGCATGAGCCCCGACCAGCTGGGGATTGAATCTGCAACCCAGGTACATGCCCTTGATGGGGAATCAAACCCAAGACCCTTTGGTGCGCAAGCTGATGCTCTAACCACGAAGCACACTGGCTAGGGCTCACTGCTCCCCTTTATGGCTGAGTAGGATTATGACCAAAGATTGGGTCCCCACAGTGGTCTTCGGTGTTCTTTCTTAAAAAGTGTACATCTCAAAAGGCTGGAATAGTGCTACTCAAAGTGTGGTTCTTGGTTTGGCCAAAGTGTGGTTGGCACTGTTTGGTAATCTGTTATCAAGTACAGAAGTTGAGAGTAAGTAAATTTACCCATCCAACCTAGATTAGGTAAAGTAACATGAGCAAGAAACAAGCTAATTTTTCACATTAGAAACTTTAAGTATCAATATATAGTGTTAGCACATGAGTTTAAAATGGAGAACTGCTCATTTATTTTTGAGATATAATTCATGTACTATGACTCAGTCCTTCAAAGTGTACAATTCAGTGGTTTTTAGTAATAGTCACAAAACTGTGTAACCATCACCAATATCTATTTCCAGAACACTTAAATTACCCCTCAAAAAACCCCTGTGCCCATTAGCAGTCACTCTCCATTCACCCTTCTGTCCCTGGAAATCACTAATCTACTTTCTATCTATTAATTTGCCTATTCTGGGTATTTTCTGTAAGTGGAATCATACAATATGGGCTCTTTTGTGACTGGCTTATTTCAATTAGCATGTTTTTAAGGTTCATCCATGTTGTAGTATGTGTCTAATCCATTCCTTTTTGTGGCTGAATAATACCTTACTGTATTACTGTATGGATATACCACATTGTATTTATCCATTAATCATGAACCTGTCTGTTTATGCTTTTTTTTGCTATTATTAATGAATAATGTTGTTATGAACATTCATATACCAGCTAGTGTGTAGATTTATCCTTTCATTTATTTTACATATATAGCCAGTGGTACAATTGTTGGGTCATATGGTAACAGTTTATTTCTGAGAAACTGCCAGACTGCATTCCACAGCAGCCGCACCATTTTACATTCCTACAGCAAAGTACAAAGATTCCAATTTCCTCCACATCCTGACCAACACTTGTTACTTTCCCTTTTTGATTAGTCATCCTAGTGTGTATGAAGTGGAATCTTGTGGTTTTGATTTGCAATTTGGTTTGGATAGCTAATTATGTTGAGCACCTTTTCATGTGTTTATCAGCTATTTGTATTTCTTTGAAGAAATGTCTACTGAAATCCTGCCCATTTTTAAATTGTGTTATAGGTCTTTTTATTGTTGTATTAAAATAGTTCTTTTATTCTAGATATAATAGACCCTTATTTAGGTAAATGATTTGCAAGTATGTTCTCCCATTCTGTGGGTTGTCTTGCTAATTCACTTTTACCTTAGTTACACTACAAGTTCTAGTAAGCATTAATTACCTACTCACACACTATCAATGGACATGTACAATTTCTGTAATTCTTTTTTTAAACGTCTGTTTTCTTTGTTTTATTTTTTAATCATATTAAATATATTGTAATTTTACATCTGCTGAATAGAATAAAATTAGGGCATTTTCCATTTCTTGGTTTTGTTTTTCTTTTTGTCTAGCAATTCATCTTTTTTTTTTTATTAAAGTGTTGGTGTGTAACAAATTAAACTAGTTTTTCACCACAGGTAGTTTGAAAAGCACCTTGTTAGAATGTTTCAGACCTTGAATNATTAAAGTGTTGGTGTATAACAAATTAAACTAGTTTTTCACCACAGGTAGTTTGAAAAGCACCTTGTTAGAATGTTTCAGACCTTGAATGTTGTGCCCTAAACTGAGTATATTTAGTTTGGTGTGTTTTTTCAGTGCCAACACTTGCCTGACTTTGACAGAATTTATACAGAAGTGTTCTACTAACCTCATTCCCTTTGAGTCATGCGCTGGAAAGAGTTCTAGGAAAGCTAATCTGGGTCTAAATCCATTTTATTTCTTACCTGAGAGTATCTACCAGTCGCCTTGCAATGCGCTTTCTTCTCTTCAATCTGAAGACCCAGATTCTACTTATCCCACAGACTGCAGGTACTGGTACATTTGAACATTGCCAAGCCCTATGACATTCTTTAGAGCCTGGGGATTCTGGACCAGCTGGTTCAGACAGGACACGGAAGGCCTGCAATGATACATCGAAGCATATAGAGTTAATGATACAGATAAGTTCACATTTCTTTTTAAAAGCCATTCCTTAAATAAAACTTAAGAATCTAGAATTAATCTTATTATACCTTCACTAAAAGTGTTAAAATTCTTTTGTACTTATAGAATTCTTATCCTTTTATAGTCACATAATGCTTGAAAAAAATACTAGTGGTGTTGAGATTCTCCCAACATGCCAGTGTATCACACACCATTACGAAATTTCCCTCTTTTATTTAAAAAAAAAAAAGTAAAAAATCAGGCTCTGACTTTTAGTACATAAAATGCATAAACTTCTCCCATTCTTTCCAACCTAAAATGTATATATGATATTTGAAAAATATATATTTAACACAAAAAAGATTTTTACATGTTAACTATGAAATTTGGTTGGCATCTAAGGTTTTTTAAGAAAACTTTTTATTTTGAAATAATTATGGATTCACAGGAAGTTGAAAACTAGTACAGAGAGGACCTGTGTATCCTATACCCAGTATCCCCCAAGGGTTACATCTTCCATAGCTATGATACAACACCAAAACCAGTAAGTTAACATGGGTATAATATATGTGCATAGTTTCATGACAACTCATTATACCTGTATTCATTATTCATTTAATCACCACCACCCCCAAAATACAGAGGTGTTGCATCATCACAAAAACCTTCCTCCTGCTACTACCTCTTTATAACCCCATCAACCTTCCCCCCCCACCAAAAAGCATAATATAAATTTACGCTAGCTTCATCTCAAGACGTATTGAGACAAGTATTTTTAAAAGGAAGGAGATATAAGTGTGGAATATGACACAGTCAAGTAAGAACAACACATTTGAACTACAAATCTCCAGCTAAAGATTACCCTATAAGCTCCTTGAAGGCAAAAACTCTATTCTAGAATAAGGACTGACAACTTTTTTCTATAAGGAGCCAAATTGCAAATATTTTGGGCTCTTTGAGCCATGTGGTCTCTTGCACCCATTGTACCCTGCCATTTAGCACAAAAGCAACCACAGATAATATAGAAATTAATAAGCATAGCTATGCTCCAATAAAACTTTATTTACAAAAACATTTGGCCTATAGGCAAGTCTGCCAACTCCTTTTCTAGAACATTGCTAATTAATACCTAAAATAGATTCCAATTAAGGGACAAATAATGACTTTTGTGCTAAGCCACATATTCAGTAACTGGGCTCTATAGATTTGCTTAGTTTAAATCACTATATAGAAATTACTACATGAACATAAGATTTACTTACCCTGCTTATGCAGAGCAAAATACCAAATACTAACAGAATAACTTCAATTATTCATATGGTCAAGGATGTCTGAGTAGGGGGAAAAAATGTAATTTATGGTAGTAGTCTTAAATACTTATTGAGATGTCTCCCAACTACTTAATTTTGCTCACAAATTATGCCAATAATTTAAAAGACTTATAACATACCTGTTTGATGGGCTCTGCAATTAAACACCCAACTACTCTCTTTTCATCAGATATAAAGAGAAAAGTTTTGATTTTGTTTGTACATCTGGGAACAACTTGCTGGAAGCCCAATTCACTATCAACAAGTTCTTGCACTTCTTCTACCTAAATGACATAAAAACCAAGAGGCAAATTTGCTTTAAAAAGTACAACAGAAACTATATATAATTATATACACAAAATTTATACTTACTATCATTTTAGCTTTATTTCTTAAATTTACATACCCCCCCCCCAAATTATTTCACTATTGACACATGTACCCACCACTTTGGAAACAGGGTTTTAAGAACCTATTTATTTAAAAAATTTTTTTAATCATCCAAGAATATTTTTTCCATTGCTTTTCAGAGAGTGGAAGGGAGAGAAACATTGATATAAGAGAGACACATCAATTGGTTGCCTCCTACACATGCCTCCACCAGGGCAAGGGATGGAGCCTGCAACCAAGGTATGTGCCCTTGGCTGGTCTCAGATCCAGGACCCTTCAGTTGAGGGCTGATGCTCTAACCACTGAGCAAAACTGGCTAGGGCAAGTCCCTATTTCAAAGATCACTTTCAGCAGAAAAAAATTCAGATTCCTGGGAGGAAGAAGGAGTAGGAAGTGTCAAAAGAGATTTTGTTTCCCTTTTATTTGTTGTTCACTGGGGCTAACTGTTCACTAAGAGTCTCTGGGTCTATTCATCTCTCAACAATGAAAAGTCTAGGTTATCTTTCACATATGGAAGATAAAGGTAACGCCTGTTGTCTTTAATCTCCAACTGTGACTCCTTTGTTTTGTAATTCCGAGTTCAGTTTTGTATGAACTAGTGTGAAAATAATCCTCACGTGTGCACCAAAGTGGATTATCAGCAAAGGTGTTTTACACTTCAACATAGGTGATTTCTTGGTGGGGGAGGGAGTAGGAGGAGAACAAGGATTAAAAAGCTAATGTTCCCTCCAGCCAGGTGTGGTTCAGCGGTTGAGCATTGACCTAGGATCCAGGCAATCGCGTGCAGTTTGATTTCCGGTCAGGGCACATGCCAGGATTTCCGGCTCAATCCCCAGTCAGGAGCTTGCAGGAGGCAGCCAATCAGTGATGACTCTCTCATCATTGATGTTTCTCTCTCTCTCCCTCTCTCTGAAATCAATAAAAACATTTAAAAATAAGCAAGCTAATGTTCCATACCTCTTTTTAAAAATTAAATTTATTAGGGGAACAATGGTTAATATGAACATATAGGTTTCAGGTGTGGGTTTCTATGTTACAAGATCTGTATATTGCTCTGTGTGCCCACCACCCAAAGCATATCTTCTCCTGTCACCACATATTAAGACTCCCTTCGCCCCCCACCCCCTCCCTCTGGCTACCACTACTCCATACCTTTTTGATAGCATAACTTGGATCATGTGGCAGGACCAACACAATTTTCCCATCCCAAAACTCTGCTACTACACGTTCCTTTTTCCAGCCCTACCAAAGGAAAAAAAAGTCAGTTTAATTTGAAGAGGGAAAAACCCCCAAAGCATTAAATAATTTAGTTTGGAGAGGACAAAAAGAACAGTAATGATATCCATCATACCTACTAACTTGGAAAAAAAAAATTACTAGGAGCAGGAAAATGGGGGAGGGGAGGATAATAAACCAGGCTTAAAATATTATGGTCTGAACTATAGCAATAAAAACTGGGGTGGGGCGGGGAGGAAGGATGCATTTGAGTAGCAGGTACAAGCACAAAGATAAGGCCAACAACAGGATGTATTTGGACTAGAAAGTTGCTTGATAAAGAGGCCTCTCTTAGAAAAGAAAAAGCCTGGAGAAGTCATAGAAAAGCTGTTTTCTAAGGCTATTTATAAAGAAGAAATTAAAGCAGGGAAAGGAATCCTCAAGTCTTTGAATTTTGTATCTTGACTGTTCAGCTTTGCTCAGAAAGCTAGAGGTATGAACACAGGGTATTCACTTAACCTAGAACAATACTTCTCTTATATTAGGGTAGTTTAAAATAGCACTTTTTAAGAAAGTTAACTTTTAAATACTCTCAGCCGCAAATATTAAGGACAACAAAACTGCAGATGATGAAATATTTATGGATATATAGATCTTTTAATATTTAAGCAATAGAAATGTATCTTTTAAAGCAGTTTTACTTTCAGAACAAGTTGAAAGACTATTTTTTTACTTACTGTGTATTTGATTCCCTCCAGAAATCTGTGGTGATGCTGAACATGATGCATTTCATCTTCAGGGTTGGAAGCAGTATAGATCATGCCACAGGACTTACACATGGTGGTTCCAAAATGTTTCTGACCTGCGTCCTGTTAATGAAGGGGCAGGGGGCAGCCATCTAAACATACCACAATAGCTCCACACTTAGTTCATGTAACCATTCATTCAAATGTCTCCTTATTTTTCTTTTATGCTGGCACAAGTTAAATACTAAATGAAAGTTTGGTTACTATACCCTCCTTTCCCTCCCTACTTATAAAATGAAAAAGACCTAAAAATGCAACAAATTAATACAAGAAATGTAACTATCTCTTGGAATGGACAGTGTAAAAAAATAAAAATAAAAAAAAATCAAGATTATTTAGCTAGATAGACCCATAGTTCTAAGAAGAAATAAGATTAAATCATAAAACTTATAGCTAAGATGGACAATGGAAACTTCTTTATTAAGCTCTTAAATAGACCTAAAAAAGCCTTATTTCAAAGAGGAAGGGCAAAAATTTTAGGACTTCTATATTATATATACATATGTGTTTCCCCTAAGTGTTTAGGAATATCAAAATTCTTTGCCCCATGAGTTGATAAAAATAAATATAATACATAATAAAAGTTAAAGGTAAGCACAGATAAATTAATAAATATAGGGATGTCAGGAATATTCAATGCCGTGGCTATTAACTAACCCCTATTCTATCTCATAAGGCCTTGCTTAATGCTACTGAAAATACCAGATTCTGAACAGTCTAATACAGGGGCTGGCAAACTTTTTTGCAAAGGGCCAGGGAGTAAATATTTTATGCTTTCCAGACCACAGATGATTTGTCACATATTCTTCTCCTTTTTCCCCAACCTTTAAAAAATGGAAAAGTCATTTTAAGCTCATAGGCCATGGTCTAGATTTGGCCCATGGTCATAGTTTGCCAAACCCAGGTCCAATACAGTGTAGATATCCTCATTAAATCTTTTGCTGATCAACAATAATCTTCCTTATCTGAAGACAACTCATTCATCAGCATTCTGCTAAATTACTAGCATCACCCAACACTATCAATTTGAAACTATACTTGACTAGTTTTATATGCTGCCATTACAACAAAGCTGACATTTACAAACCTTAGAATATCTATAACCCATGTTAACTATGCTAAGACAATATGTGTGATTTCATGTTCTATATGCGAGAGCTATATATAGGTGGAACATTGTTTTGAATCTACTCACAATGATGAGCTGGTCTTTTGTTTCTTTATTTGTATCTCTGGCATTAGTACTTTTCTGTGTGTTGATCTGTTTCAGTAAGTTAGTAGATCTGATGGATCCCACAGAAGACTGTTCTTCAACTAGAGATCTTGAAATAGAAAGTTGATAAACATTTTTAATAATTTAAAATGTTTAAGGAATTACAATTAAAACTGATATGTATATAACATCTGCAGAGCACCTGACAATTTTTATTGCTTTCTATAGACAATAAATTGATAAAGTAATAAGACCAGGAACAATGAGAAACCTCAGGCCCACTAAGAAGATCAGTAATTTACTTAGGGTAAAGTAATGTTAACATAAGAAAACATTCAAACCTGTGAAGAATCTTTTGTGAGTTTATTTGAGCCAAACTGTCGACAACTGCCAGGGAGCCAAAATCTCAATGGATTGAAACAATGCTCCTGAGAATTGCAGTTTTGCACCCTGCTTTACAGGTTACAATCAAAGAAGAAGACCCAAGTGGGTTGCATGAAATTCAAAGACCCAAGTGGGGTGCATGAAATTCATAGATTAGAGAAGTAGGAGCAAGCAAAACGAGGCTCGGGGATTGGATAAAAAGTAAAATGACAGACACATACTTCTTTTACATAAGTGGGTACAGGATAGTTAACAGTCAACAGTCAACAAGATATCAAAAACAATGAGAGAATTGGTGGTCTCTGCCCTGGTGCATTGAGGGCCCAGAAAAAGGGGAAATTACTGTGTTTTGCAAAGGCACATGTTAATCAGGTATGTTATCTCAGATGTCAAAAGATAATCGACAGGCTTAGTTAAATTAAAGTGAAAATTAACCTTTGTTGGGAAAATACTGCCTCAGGACATGGCTACCAACCATAAATTGCTTATGTTTAAAAAGTTTTACTTTCAGACCATCCTTTGTGGTAAATTTTAGGTCTCTGAGTTTGCAAGGCTGCCACGCAGACCTGCCCTGAGCTTTTCAAGTTTAGTATGCAGCCCCTTTCGTCTACAGTAACTAGTAAAGAATGGTGGTAAGACTCAAATCCTCGTCTTGTAACTCCAAATCCAAGGGACTTTCATCTACGGTATCATATGCACATATGCAGGATCTCTTGACTTCATGCTTGTAAAAAAAATCTTGTTTGCTTTATCAAATCTTAGGACAATATTTACCCATGTGAGTATACAGAAAATGCTGGAATACTACAACAAATAAGTAGACTCTAATAGTAAGGCTCACAGGTCCACAGGAAGTCGGCCATCAGCATATGAGACCCAACAACCTTTTACTTGGGCAGTGGTTGAGGTTAATACATGTACTTGTTCTCATACCTAAAGCAGCACCCTACTATTCTCAAATTCTTAGGAAAAAAATTTTTTGGCTGGATACATGCAGAGGAAACCTTTTCCAATTAGAAAAGAATTCTGGGATTTATTTATGTAGGTTGTAGACTGAAGCCCCTCAGGCTAAATTCAGCTAGTAGATAAATTTTGAATGACTCACACAGTACTTAAAATTTTGGATTAGCTACCAATAATTTAAAAATCTAGAGATTTCACTTAAAAATGTCTTATTTCCAATACTGCAAGAGACACTATAAGATTTCTAGACTTGTATTTCTTCAAAGAACCCACCAGATGACGCTAAACAGCACATGTTCTTTCAGATGGGGGCATGCATTCTCCAGTTGGCTCTAGTCTCCAACCACCCTGGCACAGAGGTTGTAACCCTTGCCTTATAGAACAAAGGACCTTGGTTTTCCAAGGAGCAAAGGAATAGATATCTCTAGAGAGAAGAGGTAAGAGAAAATAGGCAAGGAAACAAACCAAGCACCTAAAGCAAAAGATTCAAACAGAAAAAAAAACTGACAAGAAAACAGTGAGAAAAAGCTAATGCTTTTAAGCTAAGCCAAGCTGTCTCATTGTGATCATTTAATTAGAATGGCTTTCAAAGTGACTTCACAACCTATGGTACAAAATATATTTTATATCATGACCGATGGAGATACACACATACAACTAAATAATGTCCTTAAACTGATTTGACAAGCTACTACGGATAAATACCTATAGTATAGAAAACACTCGTCCAGGTTACCGAAACCCTCCTCTTTATGCAGCCTTTGCTAAGTGACTCAGCTTTTCCCATCCCAGCATGCATGACCACAATCTCTTTACTTCTATCTTAGAAATTTTAACACTTTATTATATGTATTTGTTTAATGCCTACCCTTCTTTAATCACAGCAGGACCATGTGTTATTTATCTTCATGTCTCTAAAACCTCAGTATAGTTCAATTATCACATAGCGCTGTGTAAGTGTTAAATGAAGGGATAAACAAACAAAAAAACGAATGTGAACCCATGACCCCAGAGAAACTGTAGTCTACCTAAAGTAAAAATACAGTCAAACCTCAGTTCTCAAACATCTCTCATCTTGAACAATTCGGTTCTTGACCAAGTTGTTCAGGGAAAAAATGTTTCCATTTTCGAACAAAAATTCAGTTCTGGACCTGACAACCCTTTCTTACAATACATCAACTTCACAAAAAGCATCCCTCTGGCCACAAGGGAGAGAATTCAAGCCAGTTTACAGCTGAACCTCCTTTGTTAACAACTTAGGAAATTGTGCCGTGAATATTTTCGGTTTTTGCTTTTGTTGTTGGTGAAGTGGACTATTAGCCCAATTTTAAAACATAAAGAGGCCATTAAGTGTGCTGATGTTGCTAAGGATGTATAAGCACTCAAAAAACAAAATCACAGGCAACTGAAGAGGTAGGAAAAACTTGATGATTTGGATTAATGAATTGGATTAATGAAAAGCAGTTAGACAGTGACAGCATTTCTTTTTGGAGGCAATGCATGATATGTGAAAAAGTGAAAGTGCTGCACACCTGGAAGGAGTGCTAAAAGTGATTTCTTTAAGGCTAGTAGGGGGTGGTTAGATAAATTTAAGAAAAGAAGTGTTTGTTTTTAGATTAAACAATACATTGGACATGTACTGTGTACAGGAAAGGTTAAAACGGAATCATTCAGGGGTGATTCAATTAACATTATTTCTAATGGGGAAAAAATGATTCGGTTTTCCAACAAATTGCTTCTTCAACAGCCTTCCGGATCGAATTAAGTTTGAGAACCGAGGTTCCACTGTAGAGTAAACCGTAAGAAACTGATGACATCTGACCTTTTGGGTCATACATAAAGAGCAATTTCAAATGACTCACCCAACAGTATCCTAATATTTCCTTATGTTAGATTAAATTAATTTACACACTTTTATCAGGTAATTGTGATAGATGTCAACCCTTAATAAAGAGTCATGAAGAAAGACAAATGAGAAAAGGGAAAGGTGAAAAAATTAGGACTACGGCCTTTGAAGGGGGAGAGTTGCCTATCCAACCCAATCTCTGAGGTGATTTAACGTGAGGAACCCCTAAGAGTAGAATTTAGGAAGTTCCTTGCTCAGTACCTATAGCTATTTATCATCAAATATGGAGAGAAGTACCAAAGCTGCTTAGGAAAATGTTCAGACTATAAGAAACTTCTTTTTCAGAGCTTTTCACCTATCATACTCATATTTACTCATGCTTCCCCACACCCCACTGTTAGCTTTGACCAGGATAGTGGGAGGTTCAGCTGGGATTTATAATACCAAGCTGCTGCAAATTACTTACTCTTCTGGCCAGAGTTTTCTCACCCATAAAATGGGAATAATAATGGTACCTACATCATAAGGTTGTAAATAATCATTAAACATTAACTATTTCTAATATATTACCCAGGGAAGGCAATATAGCCTAATGGACTTTGATTCAGATATGGATTCTAGTCCTGGCTCTGCCACATAACAGCTGTGCAACTGTGGCTGAATTACTAAATTTTCTCAGCTAAAAATGGAACTGATATTAGTATCTTCCTTCTAGCTTGCTGTGAGGATTGTGAGATAATGGATATAAACTACTTATTATGGGCCAGGTTCTACATAAAAATGTTAGCAATTATTATTCCTCAAGACCATAAAGACCTTTCTCTTCCCTCAACTCTTAGGTTCTCATGAAGTTTCTATGAAAGGGTATGATTTCATCTTCTATTCTTAAGACCCTCTTAGTGGAGAAGGAAAAACTGCTCTCCAAATTAAATAGTATAAGAAAAAAAAAAGGAGAGACCCATAAGACTCATAATTAAAAAATCATTGAACATTAAAATAAGAGGAAATCCTACCTTTTTGTATTGACTGTAGCTGAATTGAAGATGGGATAGACAATGGACTCAGGAGAAACTGGTAGGGGAAAAAAATGACAATAATTTGTATTACAAAATAAACTCAAAGCTTTATATCTTAAGATTTTAAAAGCTAATAGACCAAAATACATTACTTAACGTGAAGGCTTAACAGTAAACTGATTTCCCCCCCAGGGGAGAGCACAAACACAGTCCCCCACTACCACAAATTATGCAGTTGAGTTTCCCACATTTGGGGAAAACGCAAGGGTCAGCACAACCTGAGTGCAATGGATAAGCCTCACCCTGGGAAAACCACCTTCATGATCATGGTATCTCCCTTGCCAGGTAAGTATAGTCAACTAACTGATTTTTGACAAAAAGGCAAAGGTAATTCAATGGAGAAAGGATAGTCAACAAATGGTGCTGGAACAATTGGACATATATATGCAGAAAAATGACAACATTCACATTTATACCTTAGCTCAAAATGGATCACACATCTCAATGTAAAATATGAAACTATAAAACTTCTAGAAGAAAATATAAGAGAAAAATTTGCACGAACCTAGGTTTAGTGCTAAGTTTTTACACAAAACACAAAAGACACAATACATGAAAGAAAAATTAAGTTGGACTTGATCAAATTTCAACTTTTTGCTGTACAAAAAATACTAAATATATAGACAAGCCAGAGACTGGGAGTAAATACTTGCAATCATATTTCTGATCAAGGACTTACATACAAAATACAAAAAAACCTCTTACAACTCAACAATAAGAAAACAATCCACTTAAAAACGTGCAAAAGATTTAATAGACAGTTCACCGAAGACATATAGATGACAAACACAAAGAAAATTTTATAACTACTGTAAAAAGAAAGCCATTATTTTTCTGTTACATGTTCCATTATATCAGTGATAGCACAACCATGGGAAACATAATGCATACTAAATACTTAGCACTGCCTAGTACATAATCATCACCCAGTAAATACTAGCTATTTCCACTATCAACAATCATTATAAACAAATACTTATATAAATACATACATATTTATAAAATTATATATATGTATATACATCTACTCTTAAGGGCTATTGTTCCAGATTATGCTTTTAGTTTTTATATTTTTAAAATTTTCTTCCTATGACCTAGTTTCTCACTGTATATAGTCAGTATGTCTACTCCTAGAATTTAAATTTATTTCCAAATTTATAGATATAACCAATGAGGTAAAGTTACCAAGAACCTGGTTGGTAAATAGAATGTTAATTAACCTCTTTATAAATTCATAGTTTAGTAAATACTGTTTAACTGAACAATGACACTATAAATTAGTAATAGAATTTCAGATTAAAGAGGAATTTAAAAATTAGGACTAACCCCTTACTTTAGAGATCTCTTTTCTAGATCACACAGTTAATTAGTAGCAGACCTAGATCAAGTTTCCAATGCACAATTCAGTGTCCTTTCTATGGCTTAGTAAATTCTGCTCTTACAGTGGTGGGCAAAAGTAGGTTTCCAGGTGTTTCACATGGAAAATAATACAACAATTAGTCAATAATGCAAGAATAAGCTCTTGTGTTTCATGAACTCACAACTGTAAACCTACTTTTGCCCACCCCCGTATTTGGGACTTGATCAAATATAAAACATAAATTGTTTTTAGTTCTTCCTGTTATTTAGGGTAAAAGATAGGGTAAGTATGAGACCACCCAGCTCTAGGGTGTTTAAGTAACTTGACCACATCCCATAGAACAATTAAGCATCAATATTTTGTTTTAAGTTCCAGTCTAAGGTCTCCTTGTCTCCTCCTTTTAAAAATGCACTGCATTAGAAAAAACAACAACAAAAAAAACAGACAAACAAACGTGCTGCATTGCTTACCACACAAAATAGTGTCACCAAGATAAACACAAAGGTACAAATGCAGGCACACATACTAAATATTAAAAAAAAACCCCAAAATATTGTATATGATTTCATATTGATACATGTAATGAAGTATTATCATAAGTAAATAAACTCATTTTGGGAAGTTTTCTCTTACCTGCCTTGTTCTCACTGTGAGAATCTTCTAAAGGAAAACACTTATATTCGTCAGGTTTATGTTCCCTTGAAGAAACTATTCCACTTGATGAATCCTGAAGATAATGAATAAGTAAAATTAAAGAAAACCTACAATTCTTAATCATTTTCTATTTAGTGAATGAATTCCAATAGATGTTTCTAAAACAAAAATCTAGATTATGAATTATTTTATAACATGATTTTAAATCCTCAATTTTCAGCCTATGTTAAGAAAAATTTCCTCTATATTTACTAAGTGTACATAACTTTTTACTTTTTATTATGTTTTTATTGACTTTAGAGAGAGAGAGGAAGGGAGAAGGAGGGAAAAATTGATGTGAGAGAGAAACATCAACTGGTTGCCTCTCACATTTGTCCCAACCTAGGATCAAACCCACAACCTGTGTATGTGCTCTGACTGGGGATCGAACCTGTGACCTTTAGGTGCATGGGACAATGCCCAACCAACTGAGCCACACTGGCCAGGGCAGTATAGATAACCTTTTAAAAGACACAGTATGCATATCTAAGTCTGTAATTTGTCATCCTGTCAAAAATGTGTTATAATTCCTGATAAAGATGGCAAAATGAAGATTACAAAACATCCTTTCTATAATAAATTGAACAAAAAAAATTAGTGAAAATGGCAAAAATTTCCCCAGTAGCCACCAAACTGGAAAGGGACAATGTTTTGTCATAAAGTTTAAAAATAAGCAGCCAAGCCCGGCCGGGAGTGGCTCAGTGGTTGAGCGTCGACCTAGGATCTAGGCGACTGGGGTTCGATTCCCGGTCAGGGCACATGCCCGGGTTGCGGGCTCGATCAATGACTCTCTCATCATTGATGTTTCTATCTCTCTCTCTCCCTCTCCTTTCCTCTCTCTGAAATCAATAAAGATATATTTAAAAAAAAAGAAAAAGAAAAAAGAAACAAGCAGCCAAAGAAAGAAAAAGAACATTCTGGAGTAGTTGGAGAGGCTTCCAGCTCCTGTTGGGGAGCAGCTGGGAAGTGGGGAAAACAAAGTAGAAAAAAAATTCTGACAAATTTCACCAACACTACTATTTGGTGAGATTTAGAGAATATATAGCTTGGGGGAAAGGAAAAAACTTTTGCTTAAAGTAGAACTTCTATTCAAGACCATAATATCTTGGTAGAGAGGGGACAACCCATCAATTTGCCATATCTCAGGGCTCCATAATGAATTGGGGAAAGGTTATGTACCCAATAATGAAAACAGGTTCACCCTTAGCTAGTAGAGATGAATACTAGTAGTGGGTATTTAACAAACTCTTAAGAGAGGAGAACCTAGTTCCACAAATTTAAGATGCACAAAAGCACAGCTTCTCAGACTGATGACAATTAGACAGAATCCAATATCAAGCACCTTAAAATGAAGCTCAGAAAATAAGGTAGAAAAGAGTGTTGCAAAGAATTCATCATGTCACTGCACCAATTACAGAGAATACTAACCAGGAGATGGCTGGGTGCTCCACTTTGTTTTGCTGGATTGAAATTAATTTTAACTTGAACTGGTCCCCAAATTTTTAAGAACTGAGGCACATTTATATACAGTGAAGTGCACAGGTATAAAGTACACAGTTTGGTGAATTTTGATAAACTTATATACCCATGTAACCTAAACGCAAAGACATACGTTTTGGGGTGGAGTTTTTTTTTTTTGGCAGAAATGATATGAAGAATTAGTAGAATTAGACTGTCACTGCGTAACCACAGAACATGTTCTATTTAACAATATATAATTGGCAATACTTGATAAACAGGAAGAAACATTTACAATGGGAACTGCAAACTTAAATGCCTAGAAGGGCAGCAGGTAAGTAAAATGCATAGCAAAATAATAAAATTAATAGCAAAACTGATCTAAATAGGTATACATGTGCTGATTTAGCGGAGGGAAATGAAGAACCCACACATGTCAAAATAGTAGCCTCATACTCTGTTCTGGCAGATTATTACCATGCAGGAATGAGGGCTTATTAGCAAGACCTCAATTTTTCAAGAAGCACGAGAAACCTGTTATCTTGCATTTAAAAAAAAAATGCTGGCTCAAAAAATTTTAAGCATTATATAGGCCAAGCAAAACATTCATGGCTGGATATGGTTCACTGGCCACCAATTTATATAATCTTTGTCATTGAGATTTGAAATTTAAGTGACTATAAAAGATATGATCTGGGATTGAATTTGAGAGGAGGCAATTAAGAGAACAATGAGTGGAGGTACATGAGGAGATAAATAACTACTGTTTAATATATAAAGTCTCAGACTGTACTGGGCACTGTGTGAAAGCCTATCATTTCTCCAGCTGCAAAGATTGTGATAAGTATAAATAAGTCATTACAGACATAGAAACCCCACACTGGAAGACAGCCTTTCTTAAAGCCTGCTGCCTCACCTGCTTTCTGTCCCTAGCTACCTGAAAACAAACAAAAACCAAAAAAACTTTCTCTGATGACATTACTGATAGAAAGGCAACAGTAGAAGGGGTAAACCTGTACTGTCTACAGCCAAAAGTGGCTAATGAGAATTTGCAAGAACAACTGGCTAGTTCCAATTGAAATATGCTGCAAGAGAAAAATAACCATGAATTTTAAGGACTTAGTATAAATAAAAAGTAAAATCTCTCATTAATAACTTTTTATACTGATTATACTAAAATGGTAACACTTAAAATATATCACGCTAAACTTTTTTTAATGTGGACACAGAAAAATTTAAATTACATGCAGTTGGTATTCTACTTCTATTACACAGCACTAGTCTGGGCTAGCTGTGTTAAATTTATGAGCAAGATCAAAAAGCATAGAATGGCAACCATGAAAATATACTACATAAAATACAGTGGTCTCGGTTTTTGACGGTCTCTGTTGAACATTTCAGTTTACGAACGCCATAAACCCGGCAATAAATGCTTTGGTTTTTGAACACACCTCGGCAGTTGAACATGCCACGGCTTCCACTGAGGGCAAGATCTTGAGGCCTAGCTGTTGGCTGCTGATCCCTCAGTTTTCGAACATTTCAGAACTTGAACGGTCTTCTGGAACGGATTACATTTGAAAACCAAGGTACCACTCTAGTATAGTTTAATCGCTGACTACTAAATAAAAGTTAAGCTTCTCTGGACTTTAGTCATGAGGGAATTTAATAAAATGTATACCTTAATTCCAAGGAAATGTTGGTAGGCTTCCTTAAGACAAAAAGGGGAGAAATGTCCCATCTTTCCACCCCGCCTCTAAACTCTTTACAGTGATTAAACTATACTACAGTGGTACCTCAGTTTTCAAATGTAATCCGTTCCAGAAGACTGTTCAAGTTCTGAAACTTTCGAAAACTGAGGGATCAGCAGCCGACAGCTAAGCCTCAGGATCTTGCCCTCAGTGGAAGTCGTGTGGCATGTTCAACTGCCGAGGCGTGTTTGAAAACCAAAGCATTTACTGCCGGGTTTATGGCGTTCGTAAACCGAAATGTTCATCAACGGAGACGCTGGAAAACTGAGGTACCACTGTATTTGGTTTCATAAAAGCAGTTCTCCAGACAGCAAAGAAAAATAAAATGTTGTTCAATTATGTTACATATATAGTATGTATATTGAAGTTTTGTTATATAGCCAACTTAGTTTTAAAAATGATATATTTAGTTTTCTTTACCTTTAATTTCTCTTCATTTTTACTTCTTGAACCCAGCAGCTCAATGTTCAGTTCCTTTTCTAGTAACAAGCACTGTGGCACTTGCCTTGTCTCAAAACTTTTTCTTTCACTGACAGTCTTTACATCAGAATCTTTAATCACTTCTGATTTATTCTCTTGCGTGAGTCCCAGTAACGGCTTATTTTCCAGAGACAGTTTTCTAAGAGAGGATTTTTTTCTAACAAAAAATGCTGCTCCACCCTGGAGTGTTACTTGTGGTTTGACTTTTTGGCTTAGAACTCGAGGAGCATTCAGATTATTTTCAGCTGAATAACAATTATTCTCTTTATCTACAATTGGTTTGTAGGCCACTCGATTTTGCTTGGAATTTTTAGAATTCTTTGATACAGGCTTGATGCACTTATAACTTGGTTGACCCTTAGCAGTTAAACTCTTCTGTGTTTTTTTCTTCATCTTCTTGGAGCAGACTGGTTTTTCCTGCATTTTTTCTGTTATGCTGGGAAAAGACTTATCTTCATTATTAGTTTTTAGACAAATGGATTTACTCTCTTTTATCATCTTTCTCTCCAATGGATTGAGGTAACACTTATTTTTGTTGTAAAAGGATACAGTAGACACACAAGATTTAAAAGGTGAACTTTGATTTGCAGATGGTAATCTATCTTTTTTAGTTGTTTTGAGCAGACTTGAAATGAAAGGGCCTTGTTGAGAGCAATGCACCTTTTCTTCATTTTCATCACTACCTTGGCAAATGTATTTTTTATTAGGTGATGAAAATATATTTTCAGTAAAGTCCAAAATTAATTTCTTTGATGGAATGTTTGATAATAGGCTATGAAAAGAAACAAAGTTCATTGATAAGAAATGTTATTTTGCTTCAAGTTTTTATATCAATCTACTGCTAATAAACAATTCTACCCAATGGTCACACTAAAAGACAATACATTCTCTCCTCCAAACATCCACCCATACACATTATCTATTAGTTTTAACAGTAGGATTCTCAAATTCTGTTGTTACCAAACAAAGCATTCAAATATTTTTCAAAAGTAAGAGAGTGTTTGCGAAAACACTGTTTACAAAGCTTTGAGATACGTGTGTGTGTGTGTTTTAAAACCTATTTCAAAGTTCTGGCCATATACAAATTATAGCTCATATACTTTGCTTGAGTGGCTACAAGTCCTCTAAAATGATTAATTCTGTGTAATTAGGGCCTGCTCTGTGGGGAGTAATTTATATCTAGTACGACATATAGTAAGTACTGAGCACACAGACTTTCTAGGATTGCTTACAAACAAACATCTACTGTATGCAAAATACTATGCTAACTATTACATAAGAGAGCAGGAAGGAGCAAGGTAATGAAAGATTTGACATACATTTCAAAGCCATAGAGAAACAGCTCTTTCTCTGATTTCCTGCAAAAGCATTAAATAATTATGAAAGCTTACAATATTTCCAGACTAGAATTAAAATATAAAATACTATAGCCACAAGGAGTAGGCCAGTGGAAGAATGAAAGTTTTAAGAGAGGATAAGAAAGACAGGAAGGTGAATTTTTCTTTTCTAAGCGTTTCTTCCACCCACAGGATGAGACTCACTTGTCACAGTTCAAAGAATTCCGCTTCCTTTTCCTCGGAGTAAAAGCTGACATCTTCTTAATTGAACTCCTAAAAGCAACAGGGCAATTATACTAACCAAATTCATCCAATGTACATAAAAGTCATCATATCAAAATTATACCTTAAAAGTTTGAAAAATTTTTCAGATGGGTAATGGGTCCATAAAGAATCCAAAAAAAGGATTATTTTTAAAGCAAATCACTTCAATAAAGATTTAAACTATGAAGGTAAAAAAAAAGAAAAGGAAAAACACTACATCACAGTAGCAATTAGAACAGGAAATTCAAGCAGGGAAATGATCCTACCAAAAAGGAAGTATTTTTTACCCCATTTCCGGGCACACTTTCTCCTTTAATTAGCCTGATTGATTCATACCAAGTTTAAACACTCTTCATCTGCGATGCCTTCCTTGCCATTGCCCTCACCCCACCCCTGACACTGTTAGATGCTGCCCTATGTTTCCATTCCATCTGTGCTTCCTTAATATTCCACTTAAGACATTTTCTTTTTGGTGTAACTGTTTTACAATAGCCTGCTTATCCAATGAAGGGTTGCTAACTTTCATCAGAGTCCAGCAAGAAAAGGGAGAAGCATAATCCTCTTTCTTTTTTTAGGTCCTCACTCGAGGATACTCTTTCCATTACTTTGCAGAGAGAGCGGAAGGGAGAGAGAGAAACACACCAATATGAGAGGCACATCGATTGGCTGCATCCCCCACGCGCGGCGACAGGGACCGGGAATCTAGCCCACAACCGAGGTGCGTGCCCTTGACCCCAGTCGAACCCTGACTCCTCAGTCCGCCGGCCAGCGCTCTAACCAGGAGGAAACCGGCCAGAGCTCCTCTCCTATTTTACTCGCTGAGGAGCGTTGACCAAGCCGCTTGTTTTCTTTTATAAACTACCCTGACCTTCTAAGACTACTGAAAACAAAGCATCATCCAACTTAACTCTCGAGCAGATGGCATGTTGCTAAGTAAAACTTTCCCCTTCCCTTTCCCCTTATATTTTAAAAATGACACAAGCGTGATTTCAAAGTTAAACATACAGAAAGACCAGGGTCTCTGGGAATTAATGTCCAGCTGTGGCTTACGGGAAGACCCTTTTAAGGCTGCATGAGGAAAACAAGACCTTTCAGGAGAAAATAAAACTACGGCGTCGGGAAGACTGGAACCCGGTGACCTGGAAGTGCGGGGAACAGGTTGGTGGCTTCGGCCTCCAGCCGCCAACGCGCCCAGCCCAGAGCAAAAGTTCTTTTTCTCTTTGACATTCACCCTCCGCATGTTCTATAGAATCCTCGGTGTTCCATCCCAAGCCCCAGCCCGCTGCAGCAATTACCTGCGCCACAGAGCCCGCGACCTCTCCTCCGCAAAGCCAGTTGCTCCGCCACTGTGTTCAAATTATCGCGCGCCAGGCAAGGCGGAAGCTGCTGCGTTCTGATTCGCCGCTTCTCAGCGCTTCCAGAAACTGGCTCGATGATTGGTCGCACACTAGTTATTGCCCCACCCATTTACGAGGGGGTCTCCAAGATTCTCCCGCCCTTGGGAGGCAAAATGCTCGCTACTCCCGGAAACCAAGCCATCCACAATCCCTTGCGGCAGCGCGGAGTTCCATTCCCCAGGCCTTGTTAAAGTGCATTCTGGGAATTGTAGTTTTCTGTAGAATAAAGGCGCCCTCTGGAACGTTCTGGGGGTCGCTTGGTGTAAGTTTTTGTGGAGTAGCCTCTTCCATATTCTTGAGGCAGTTATATTTCAAATTTGAAGCTTTAGCGTTAAGCTTTTTTAAATTAGTAATACGTTAGGTTTGTAGCTCATTTTTAAAATTTTTCAAGTAAAAAATTAAATCAATGTTATTAATATTGCTATGTGCCAGGCATTCTTGCACGCTTAACGTGTTTTATTTTATTTATTGCACATCACAATCAATGAGATATGTATTATCATTCCCATTTTGCAGAGAATAAAACCGACGGCTTGAAAACAATTACTATTTATAGGACATAACTAGGTTCTTATTTTGGGGAACTGGAACGTTCCTAAAGCAGTCTATTGGTTGTTAGCTATTGCTTTTATCTTTGTGTAATCAGCTCCTGTACTGTCTCTGGAACATTTTTAGTTTTAAGTAAATTTAAATGATGCCCTTAACTTCAGAATGAAATAAGAGAAATGGGTCCAAGCTAAGTACTGTGTGAGCTTTGCCGGAGTAAGATTATCATTACTTTACAGCAGGAAGATATCTGAGATTCACAGTTTGGAATTTGCCCAGTCTCACAGGTAACAGTTGGCAGATCTTAATGGCAGAACAGTCGTAGTCCAAATCCAAGAGGCATATTGCCCGTGGGGAATATCACTAACAACTCATCTTAGTACTATGTTCTAACCCTTTCCTGCCATTAACTTATTTAACCCTAGCAAAATAATCTATGAATTAGCTGCTCTGTTCATCTTCACTTTGCAGGGGAAGTAAATGAAGCACAGAATATGCCCAAAGGCGCGCCTTACAAGTGGTGGAGCTAGAATGACAATAGTGGAGGAATTTGGGTTCATTCAAAATGTATGAACGAAGAAGCGTCAAGCACCGCGATTGGCAGTGAGCACCCAGTGTGAAGAAGGCAACTAGTTTCTGCTCTCAGGGAGCCCATGCAGGCGTTAGGGGCAGCAGATAATAAGCCTCAGGACTTAACCAACCTCCGGGTGAAGGCCTGAAAATAAAGTCAGCCAGTGACGTTTTTCTTTTAATATGGTGGCGTTTCAGGGCGCGTGGGGGAGGTAGAAGGGGGTATAGGGGACATAAATGTTGATAGAGACTTGACGGGATGGTGAACACAATACAGAATACAGATGATGTACATCCTACAGTTGTACACCTGAAACCTATATAATTTTATTAACCAGTGTCGCCCCAGTAAAATTCAACAAAGAAAGAAGAGAAACCAAAGAAGATGGCGTTTCCCCGCTATGTTATCTAACCACCAGTTGTCCAGGCACCATCTTCTTGGCCCTGAACCATCCCTGCCCGCTCCAACACCCTCCTCCTCGCCAGGATCAAAGATGGCGCAGGCGGGCCGGCGTTATGACGTGACGCAACGTCCGCCGGAAGTGCGCCGAGGGGCTCTAGGGAACCGGCGGCCTCGGCGGGTAGTGTCCTGAGCTTCGAGAACTGGGTGCTGCTGCTCCACGCTGGAGTCGCCGCGCCGCCGCGGAGATCATGGTGTTCTACTTCACCAGCAGCAGCGGTGAGTGGGCGCCGCCACCTCCGGGTCCCTGCTCCCCGGCGCGTTCCCCCAGGCCGTCGCGGAGCCTGGACCTCGTCCTAAAGCGCCTCCTCCGCGTTTGCCGCTTCTGCCTGCGCCCTCTCAAGTCCCCCGTGGTATTCGTCCCAGTGGCCCCCGAGTACCCCCTCGTCTGGGCCTGGGGGCCCGGAGAGACTCCTCCTCTGGGGCCTTTGCATCCGGAGTGTTCTCTCGCCTCAGTCGGGAAGACCTTCCGTAGTTACCTGGAATCGGGCGGTTTGTGGGCTTCTTCACACCGCATTTCAAGACATTCCCCCAGACACACACCCGAGGCCTTTATTCTGGCTGTGCCCTAGTAATTATGCACTTTGATTTAAAAAAAAAACACAACCAAAAAAGGAGACACTTGTCAACAACTCTGCCTTAGGGCAAGTACCCCTTAGCTTTCTAGGAAAGGGTTGCGAGGCCTGGGATGCAACAGAAAGCAATGAAGAGACCTTGGAATGGTAATAAAGCCACTCACTGGGCAGAACGGATGTCCCAGATCTTGAAAAGTGACATATGAGGATGTTTCTGATGTGTCGCTGGCAGTCAGGGAAAGGGTGCTTTTCAGTTGCCAGGAAAGGCTGTGACTAGACTTCGTTTCTCGTTTGTGTTGTTCCCTTTCTAGAACCAACCCCCAGTTAACTGCTACCCCCTGAAGACAGCTCTGGCTTATCTTTTTCAAATGCCTTTCCCGACCCGGCTCCTACCCAGGGATTGGTTAGGTGTACCTCTTCGGGGACCCCCTGAACACTCCGTGTATAGCTTTGGCATTGTCGTTATGGCATTAAACGCTGTCTGCTTGAGCGAGAGCGGAAACCCCTTGAGGGCAAGGACAGGATCTCCTTACCTTGTTTCCCTAGCATAGTGCATGGCGCATAATAGCTACTCCGTAGATGCATGTTGAATAAATGAGTGTTATCCGTTTACTTAATCATAACACTATTCTGTTGCTACTGTCTCTGCTTGTTTGTTAAAGATGAGCTGCATGTTTTTTGTGTGGGTTTGAATACGGTGGTACTTTCTTTTTTGAGATGAGAACATTGAGGCCCAGAGAAGTTATATCTCACAGACCACTCCCTCACACACCTCTCCTACTCAATGACACTGTCACATCTCATTATTTTTCTCAGTAGTTTAGACTTCCACAGTGTGTCATATGCTATTTCCCTGCCTCTGTAGATTTGGTTGTTCTTACCCATATTGTTAAAATTACTAGACACAAAGTTCAAACTAGCCTGAAAAAAATCATTATAGGCCCCTTATAGCATTTTCATTCCTCCTCCTGTTCTGTTTTGCTCCCTCTGTCATAACTTGAGCATCTCTTTGTAGCGTCTCCACTCATGAAAAGTCCCCAACAATATAGATACTTATGCAAGCTCAAAGGGGAGTAAAAAGTACCGGCAGGGTATACAGGTGCTAAATGTATTTTATGCTAGTTGCTTTATTTTTCTTAAAGCTATTCTAAATTCTTTGAGCGCTAGTTATATGTATCAGGTGCCCTAATTAGAACAGAGTGCTTCAGCAGATTTGTGGATTATATTTTTCTCATTGGCTTCAAATATAATGTCAGAACTGCTTCCTGTTGGAAAAATATCTAGCCTCTAAGTCTAATAAAACTGCACTTGTACAGCAGATCTTTTAGAATTGCAAAGGTAATGGAAAAATTATAACTTTTCCGGTTAAATAGTAAAAGTACATACTCCAATATGGAAAACAACTTGAAATGCAGGATCTTCAGGAAATGACTTTGTATATATACCCAAGCTTTTCAACCAAGTGGTTACTGCATAAAACCTTTTTTTTTTTAAATGGGGAGAAAATCTCAATAGAAAGTTTTTGCCTTCCCTTTTGTTTTAAGATTAGTATCTCTGACTAAAATGTGTTCTATTTCATGCTTTCTCATAATGGCATAATGAACAGTAGCTTTATTATATTTCCAGTGTTAAATTCAAGATCCTCTGTTTTATGGACCCACAAAATACCTGCACTTTGCTCGTTAAGTCCAGTTGTACTTTTAGTACCTTTTAATAGCATCTATCTTAGGATAGAGTGTTCTGTAAATTATGAAATTATCACAGAGCCTCTCAAGTTGGGTTGGTTGCTACACCTGAATCAGGTATCTTCAAGATGACTACTTCCCATATTAATCAACCCTGTTATTTAGGTGAGAATAACAAAAGTACTAAAATAATTCAGTTTATTTTTCTTTCATCTCTTTTGACATGGACAGGAGTTTAATTTAGACTTCTTGCTCAGCTGTTGTACTCTTTTTTATTTTTTATTTTCTATTGGCATAATTTCAGTCTTTCAGAAAAGTTACAAGAGTAGTAAAAGATTTCCTTTATATCCTTCTCTTAGTTTCTGCAGATTTTAACATTTTACCTTTTTTAACCAAATTATAACATTTGCCTTATCTTAATTCCCCCCTCTCCACACACACACCCCCCCACACAATATCCTTCCATACATATAAAGAAAATGGGTGCATATATTAAAAATATATAAACATATACGCATTTTTTACAAATTGAATCTTACTATATATAGAGACACAAAAATGCAGTGCCCTCTCTTTAATGAGTACATGCCATTTTGTTTATGGATGTACTATAATGTGTTTAACCAGTCTTAATTAGTGTTTAGGTTGTAAAAAGAACATCATTGCTTGATGGAGTATTTAATTAGTAGGATATACTCCTAGTGGTGATATTCTAGGACCAAAAGGGTATATATACATACAATATTGCCAAGTTGTGCAGAGAGAATCTGAAACACTTTTTAGTTTTATTCCTGCACTTTTGGCATTTGTTATATGCCACGCCAAGGCCTTATCAAGCTAATATAATGCTCAATTATAGGTAAGTATTTCTGTTAACTAGTCAATGCAAACATTCTCTCCTTTCAAGATATTTCTCTCACCTACTTCCAAGTAATTACAGACTGTAGACATTATAACTGCTAATTGAAGGAATTAGGAGTTTTCCCTCCCTAAGAAAAGCAACTATGATTGATAACTTAAGGAGTGTTTCATTACTGAAAGTACAGTCAATCCCGAATTTTAGAATTTATAATGAAAGAGTGCTGCTCCCTGACCTTCAGAGCTCTACTCACATGTGGTAGCTCTGTGCTCTGGGGTAACAGCCAATAGACTGCCTAGCCCACCCTTGCATCTGTCTGTCAGGCTTGTAGACTGAGAACCCAGTGACTTAATTCAGGAGTTTAGATCCAAATAGGGTCTAGTAAGTTTTGGTAGACTAGTTTGGAAACCCAGTGCCCAGTTAGCACTTTCGTTAGAAAACTTTTTGTTTGACTCCAGATGGAGCATGCCCTGGTTAAGACACACTAGCTAAGTAAAGTGTCTTTCCTAAAGTAAGCCATACCCAGAATATTCTATTTGATTTAGGTTAGTGGTTCCTAACACCAACTTCACAGTGGAATTACTTGGGAGATTTTTTAAAAAACACCAGCACCTGCCTCCCAGAAATTAAGATTTGGTTAGTCTTAGGTGGAGCTGGGGCATAATTAGGTGATTCTAATATGTGATCAGGTTTCAGAGCAACTGATTTAGAAGTTTAAGAGCCCCAATGGGACAGGGAGCCCATTATAATTTGCAGCACACCTGGGATATGATTTAATATTGGCTAAATAAAATTATGAAAAATAACACTTGGCTAAGTATAGGAACCTATTTTTAAATGATTGAGGTGAAGGTTGTTTTTTCTTTTTTGAAAATTCTTTTGAAGAAGGCAAAAGTATAGGGCAGAACTGGAATTGCATTGAACTCTATTGAGGAAAGTAGCTATTTTTATTAAGAGTCAATAAACTTTCTGTTTGGGCCAGATAGTAAATATCTTAGACTGTGTGGGCCACATCTCTATAGCTTGTTCTTCCTTGTTTTGCTTTTTCAACCTGCTGAAATGTAAAAATAATTCTTAGCTTGAGGGCTGTCTAAAAAGAGGGCTGGATTTGGCATATGGGCCATGTTTTTTGCCAACCCCAAATTATTTGTCACTTGTTCTTCCCCATAAAACACTTTTGGTAATGAAGTTATCTAACCACTTTTTATTTTTGTTTTGTCTTAGTTAACTCATCTGCTTACACTATTTACATGGGAAAGGATAAATATGAAAGTAAGTTTTCAAAAGCATTTGATTTTGAAATTTCCATAAGGTAAGCGTTAATTGCCTTTTCTCCCTATGGTATGTTGGATATGAAGTTTCAACTGCTACTAACTAACCCATTATAAAGAACTCCAAGGGATTAACTTTCCTAAAATTTAGTTATATTAGGTAATATTTGAGCTAATTGGACCACCTGTTGCTCATTTGAAACTTTACGAAGAGTTTTGTGGTATTTGATTTAGGTTGATATGAATTTGAGGTTAACCTTTGCTAGTTTAAATCAAATAAAAATAATTTGTGACTTAAACTTGGAAAAGATAATTTTCTACATATTTTTACCACATTTAAGATTAGTGGAATCATATCTATTGGTTTTCTGAGGCTGAAGATGGCTTTTTTTAAAAACTTTATATTGGTGACACTATTACAGATGTCCCCATTTTCTACTCCTTTGCCCATCTCCACCCAGCCCCCGCCCCCTGAAGATGGCTCTTAAGTCATGAAATGTTAACAGTTTTTATCTAACTTTGTTGACCATATTTTTCAGAATGAAATACATTATTTCATACTGCACACAATCATATAGCATTAAATGCTGTACACATTCATGTAATTAAAACAAAAATGTACAAAAAATACCCATATCCTTTGCTTTGCCCTCTATTGTCAGTTTTATTTCATGTTTTAACAGCTAGTCTCAAATAAATAAATAAATAAATAAAGTCTCACTAATGAATTTGAACTACATTTTAAAAGAAACTGCCTGAGGGTGTAACCTTTTTCACTGCAGTAGTGAGGAGGGAGATGAAAGTGAAGTTTAGCTTTCTTGATTTAGAGAGCAGTGAGTTGAAAGCACTGACCCTCAGGGTGTGGAATGCTGAAGTGAGGGAGGAAAGAATGGCAACAAGAGCTCTTGGAGAAAATGCCAGAATTTCTCTTCTTTAAGCTTGTAAAACACAGCTGCCTATCTCTTGGGGTAGTGTAATGTTTTGGGAAAGACAGCTCTTAAATCAGGCCAACTTGGGTTAAAATTTGAGATCTGTAGCAAATTAGCTATATTTACTTAACATCTTTGAATGTCAGATTTGTTAGATGTAAGAAGATCAAGGGATGGTATCTACCTTGCAGCGTTACGAAGGTTAATGAAAGCACCTGGGTAAAGTGTCTGGGCACTCAGTAAGTAGTAGTAACCATCACTGGAACTTCTTTAGCTCCCCAAAGCTGCCTCCTCTACTGGGAACACTCCAGGGCTGATGACTCTGCCTAAGTAGCCTGAGAGCTGGCTAATTCACTACAGTCACCTTTCTTTAACCTTCAGGTATTGCTTTTTGTTTCTTTTTCTAAAACTACCAGTATCTGTTCTAGGTGCAGTTTGAAAATGTCAGCAGTTTAAACTTGATCCTTTAAAAGAGGCAAGTATAACATTCTTCAGTATGAGACATTTGACATTAGTGAAATAAATAAGGCCAAAAATTAAAAGCTGTCAAAGAATAATGATGTCATTGTATAGTTAGCATATGTATATTTACTTATATTTAAAATATGACATGCATGTAATATATAGCAGCATATATGATATACAATGTGATAGGTAATTGTTATATAAGTGTAGTTATAAATCATATCTATAGGAACAGTTTAAAACCTTGCTATACCACTGCTTGCTGTAAAGCAGAATCAGGATAAGCAAGGCTATCACATCCTAGCCAAGAGGAAAAAACAACAGAATAATGTAACTCACTTATAAACAGTTTTCCCTTACAATGAATTTATGACATTGATTCTGGGTGTGACTTAAGGGAGAAACTTTGCATTACAGTCAAACCTTGGTCCTCGAATGTGTCCCATCTCGAACAGTTCGATTCTTGACCAAAGTCGTTCAAGGAAAAATGTCTTGGTTGTCAAACAAAACTTCAGTTCTCAACCCAACAACCCTTTCATGCTGATGATACCTGTATGGTCAGTCATGTGCCTCTCAGGTGACAAAGGAGAAAGTGCGCAAGTATGAATCAGTTCACTATTAAACCAAGTCTCATTAACATCTCAGGAAATTGTGCTGTAAATATTTTTCGTGTTTTTTGCTTTTGTTGCTGGAATGGATTAATTCAGTTTCCATTATTTCTAATGGGGGAGAAATGATTCGGTTTTTGAACAAATCGCTTCTTGAACAGCCTTCTGGAATGAGTTAAGTTCAAGAACTGAGGTTCCACTGTATATCAATACTAGAGTTTTATATTTCTCCTAGTAACCCGTCAATTGTCATAGGTAATTTGTATTTTTCTCATAGCATTCTCCTGATGAATGTAGCTGTAGGGGGGATGCTACCTTCCTATATTACATTGAACAGTAAGGCACAGTTATAAGAGCCATGGTTATATATCTACAGTAAATGTGGATCCAAACCTGACCAAATCTGCTTTTCTTTCTACCACATAAAGTGTGCGAACCCAAGACTGAGGTTACTGTGAAGCACCTAAAGCAGAGCTGCTATGTGCGGTTGTGCAGGCTTTTCATTGTGCAGCTCTGGGTGGCGGTGGGTGGTGGTGGGTGGAGTATTTCTTACAATGAAGAGCTACCTTGATTCTGGTTCACACTGATGGGCTACCAGTGGTGCTGACTAACCTGAAGCAGCTGTACCAGTGATGTTCCCAGCCTGTTTCTTACTCCTTCCATTTTAGTTTACTATTTGCTGGGTCTATTTGTGCCAGCCTCTGAGTATCCAAAGAGGAAGATTTAGTCTGTGTTTTCACAGTATTCGGGTGGAGACACACACTAAAACAAATATGGGTCAGTTTTGCTGTGAAAAGTCTATAAAAAAAGTATAGGCAAGATACATTAATAGCAAATACTGTAGAGGTGGAGGGGGCAGAGAGAGTAAATGTGATTTAAGGAAAGCTGAGAAGGCTTCATGGAGGAGTAGATTAGAATGGGCTAGATTGTAGAATCCTTTGTTGTTTTCTTTTTGTATGTGGAATCCTTTAAATGTCCTTTGGAGGAATTTATATCTAGAAATATAAATCTAGATGTAGAATTTATGTCTACATACATAAATTTAGATTCTATCTAGAGTCCACTGGAGTGGTGTTTTGTTGTCATTAAATGTATGTTGGAAAAATCTATGTATAGAATGCTTTTTCCCCAAGAACTCTTAGAGTCATTTGGAGGTATCAGCTTTCCTAATCTACTTGGTAAGAAAGGTATAACGTTTTTATTTATATATTTTTTAAAGAAGTTGCAGCACAGAACAGCAGTAAAAGCATAGGGTCAAATTTCTTTTTTTAATCTTTATTTATTTATTTATTTATTTATTTATTTATTTATTTATTTATTTATTTATCCCTCACCCGAGATATTTTTTCCATTGAGTTTTTTAGAGAGAGTGGAAGGGAAGGAGGGAGGAGGGAGCAAGAGAGAGAGAGAGAAACACACATTGATGTGAGACACATTGATTGGACACATGCCCTGACTGGGGCTGGGATCCAACCTTGACCCTGTGGTGTGTGGGTCAATGTTCTAACCACTGAGCAACACTGGCCAGGGTTATAATTTTTAATATTATTTTTATTTTTAGAGAGAGAGAAACATCTATTGATCAGCTGCTTCCAACACACCCCCCACTGGGGACAGAGCCCACAACCTGGGCATGTGCCCTGACCCAGAATCGAACCGGTGACCTCCTGGTGCATGGGATGATGTTCAACTAACTGAGCCACACTGGCCAGGGCTATAAATAAATTTTTAATTGAATTATTTACTTTCACTAAAAAACTTTCAGTTGTGTTCCTTTTATAAGCCAGCAGGTGTCACCAGGGAGCCAAACATTGCCTGAGGAAGAGGTTTTTAGATTTCCCTTTATTTGTTCTGATTACCTGTTGGCTATTTGCTCAGCTTCCCGCTTAAGCTAGTAGAAAGCCCTTCAGAAAACTCAGTGTCTGCAGTTGCTGAGAGTACCGTCATCCAAGGTTCATCATCCTTTCACTTTTCTGTGAAATAAATACTCCATTTTACTTTCTTGGGTGCATTTTAAATCATCATATATGAATTATTTTGTTTACCTTATAGTTTTTAACTTTGTATCTAATACTATAATGCTTCTTGTATTAAACACAATTAGTTACTAATTATTCATATGGCTATTAGAAGCACAGGGTGGGGCAGAAGTAGGTTTACAGTTGTGAGTACGAGAAACAGTTTGTTCTTGTATTTTTGTATTATTTTCCATACAGACAATTGTAAACCTACTTTTGCCCCACTTTTTATACATAAATACAACCTTTCTGTGGTGATATATATTATTAGCCTTAAAAACGTGCATAAATTTTGAATACTCACCTTTTAGAAATACACCTTAAGGAAATAATCAGGAATATGGACATTTATTTAGAAATAATTATTGAAACAATCCAGATGTCAACAATAGTAAGCTCATCCATATGATAGAATTAAGTTGTCATTGTTTCCAAAGAACTGTTTTTCTTTTTTATTAAAAAAATTTTTTTATTGATTGAAAGAGAGGGGAAGGGGGGAGGGAGGAAAGGGGGGAGAGAGAGAGAGAGAGAGAGAGAGAGAGAGAAACGTCGATTTGTTGTTCCACTTATTTATGCATTTATTGGTTGATTCTTGTACGTGTCCTCACTGGAGATTGAACCGCAGTCCTGGCGTATGGGGACAGTGCTCTAACCAGCTGAGTTAGTTACCTGGCCAGAGCCAAAAATCTTTTAAAATCTTATTTTATTTTTACCTAACATACATTGTTTAAAGTTTTAAATAGTAATAGAATGCTTGTAATAAAAAACATCAGTTCCTAACTCATCCTTTCCAGTACCCATGTTCTAACCCCCAGTGACGTTACTTTTGGTGTTTTGCTATTCTATTTTATTTTTACTTTCAGAATTTTAGATGAATTTTTATACTTCTGGTGTTTGTGTTATTTCCTAATTTTCTGCAGTTTTATAATTGAGAGGTGTTTTTGTGTTTTTTTAAAGAAGTAAAATGGAATCCATTGGTTTTAAAATTTTAACAAAACCATTTTAGCATACCAATATTATTACAGTGAACGAGTTTTCTAAGACATGTAGCTTCTCAGCTGCTCCGATTTGTCAGTTTTATTATCTTCAAATAGAAATATCTTTGAACTTTACATTATAAGTATTACTATAGAAAATTACAACAATTATCATTGTCCAGTTGTAAAAACTATTTTTACGGAATTTTCAAGCATCAAAACCTCTCTGAATTACTCTTTTCTTCTTTAAGGGAAGGGGAAAATGTTGTGGAAAGGATTGATATTTCTCCCTTTCCAATTATCTGTGAACTCTGACATATCTTCATTTGACGATTTTTTACCTTTTCTTTGTTCTCTTATCTCCCTGTAGATGAGGATCTAATAAAGTATGGCTGGCCTGAAGATATTTGGTAAGTAACAATTATTTTGGTCGTGATCATTATTTACTTTCTTAGACCTGGCCAACCACCTGACTTGAGGAAGGAAGAGGGGGGGAGGGGAGGGAGGGGACAATGATGTGAGAGAGAAACATCTATCAGTTTCCTCCTATACACCCCTAGACTGGAGAATGAATCTGAAATCTAGTATGTACCCTGACTGGGAATCGAACCCACAACCCTTTGGTGTATGGGATGACACTCTAACCAGTTGAGCCACCCAGCCAGGGCAGACCACTCTTCTTGGTTGGATACGTGAGGGCTTCAAAGAAGCATTGAAGAAAATAGACACAAGCTTCTATGTGGGTAGAATATATAGAGCATCTGATCAGCTCCAGCTTTCAAGAAAACACAGACTGGGTTCCCTTTGTCTTCTTAACTCCCTCATGAGTTTAGCCCTGTATTGATCCAGTCTCTACCCCCTCTTTCTAAAATAATTTATGGAAATTTAAATAATAATACACACTTTCTTAGACTCCTTTCACGATAATTTATTGTGCTGCTCACAAAACCTAGTCCAAAAAATAACAAAGTAAATAAAGGGAAAAAGACCCCTTCGTTTTAGTTGAATTCTGTTCTTTTTCTCACTGCCTTACACACCACGTGGGTTTTTCTGCCACTCAGATCCAGAACCTTTCAGGGCTGCGTGGACTCCTGGTGCTTCGTTTTTCTTTCTCTTTTGTTTTTTTTATATATATCTTTATTGATTTCAGAGAGAGGAAAGGAGAGGGAGAGAGAGAGAGACAGAAACATCAATGATGAGAGAATCATTGATCAAGCCCACAACCTGGGCATGTGCCCTGACCAGGAATCGAACCCCGATCACCTGGATCCTAGGTTGACGCTCAACCACTGAGCCACACCCGGCCAGGCTCTTTCTCTTTCTTGTAACACTCTCAGACTCAGTTTGCTTACTTTTTCTATCTTCAGCTTCCACCACTCATTCTGACCCTTGTGATGTCTCTCTCCTGGAGCCTAATTCTGCCTATAGAGTGGGATATGGTCTGTACAGCTCCTAACACCCGTAACAAGTACTCTTCCTGAAGATAAGCTCTTGGATCTTGTTGCTTTAATGATAGTAATAATCACCATTATTGAGCATTTAACTGTTTGCCATATACTGTTATGTTTTTACCTCCATTAATACATTTAACCTCATATTAACCCTGTGAAACAGTTACCGATGTGCCCATTTTTCAGAGGAGGAAACTAAAGCTAAGAGAAACTGAACAGATCTGCTCTGGTTGTTGCTGGCCTCCAGCTAGCTGTAGTTGTAAGTCACTGCTTCTCTCTCCCTCTGAGCTGCTACTCTTGGCTTCAGGTAACTTTTTTCTTCCCTCAAGCTGTGGTTATGGCTCTCTGTGGACCTCTTTTCTCCAACTGTGGGCCCACGTCCTTCACTTAATTCCTTATAGTGACAGAGTTTAGGCTGCCACTTTTCAGACGTGTTGATTGATTTTCAGTGAGATATACAGCATTGAACATTTAATAGGGAAAATATTACAGAGACTAACTGAAGCTACCCCTGGACTCTGCTTACTTCTTCTATGCCCAGATCTGTCTGCAGGCACTGCTAATGGGCACCCCCTCTCCTGTTCCAGCCTATCCCATTGTGAAGGGGCTAATTCATGACCCCAATGGACATACTTTCTTCTCGTTCTTCCTTCTCTAAAGTCCACATGCCAAGAACCAAGAGACACTAGAAACTTGAGGAATTTTAAAGTCTTTTTTATTTTCCCCCTGTCCCAGTGCTGTGGGCCATGTTCTGAACTCAAATATGTCATCAAGGTGGACAGTGCTTGGCACTGCCTTACCTCAGGTGGACAGTTTGCACTGCTGAGGGCTTCCTATGACCCTAGACTATAAGCCCCATGAGGATAATGATCTGTTTTGTTTAGTACTATATTCCCAGTACCTAGCATAGGACCTGGCACATAGGTGTTCAGTAACTACTTGTTGACTTCTTAATTGACTAGCTCTCCGCCTGTCTAGAAATAATCTCTACTGGACATTTCTTCAAAATGAGAACTGCACCTGTTTAAGTTACCTTTTGTAAATTTTTAACATATCAGGCTTGAGGCAGAGATATCTGCATAGAAAAGATTATATATTCAAATGTACCATGAAAGTCAATTTACCACAGTCTATTATCTGACATTTAAGAAAAAAAATAGCCCTGGCTGGTTTTCTCAGTGGTTAGAGCATTGGCCCTCAGAGTGAAGGGTCCCGGGTTCGATTCCAGCCAAGGGCATGTACCTTGGTTGCAAGCTCGATCCCCCGCCCCAGTTGGGATGACTGCAGGAGGCAACCAGTCAGTGTCTTTCTCTCACATCGATGTTTCTCTCCCTCCACCCCCCCTTCTCTGAAAAGCAACGGAAAAAAATATCCTCAGGTGAGGATTTAAAAAAAAAAAAAAAATTAAGTGGAAGAGAAATTTCCAGTTTACAACATATACCCCGTATACTCTGACTTGGTTTTTCATTTCATTAACATTGATTATTTCCTGGAATACTACTTAACCACAGTGGTGTCTACCAATACCTACACACCCTTTACCCTTTTTGACACTCTTTAATAGTCTTGAGATTAAGGACTATTGTTGAAAGTGATTGACTTACTTTCAGAAGCTATTTAAGGTCTATGTGAGCTGAAAGAGCCCTAAATTTAAGACCTCTTCTGGTGCATAAACTGTCAATCCTGGAAACATTCCTGAGTGTGCTAAGAAGGATGCAGTGGGTGACATTCCAGGGCAGGTTTCCTGGTTCACTTCACTCTGGTGCTTTACCTCTAAATGTCAACATCTGAGTTTATACCAGGAAACCTTCTGAGGTGCCTTTAAGCAGAGGATTTTCCTAGGACTAAATGAGAATGGAATTAAATTAATCTTTAAACAAAGGAAAATAGAAATAGTGTGCGTTAATAACCTCCTTAATGAGTAGTATTTCTAGAGATCTCACTTGAAGGAGTTAAACGACGCAGCTTCTGGGGCCCTGCATTTCTTCATTCTCAGGTCATTGATTCTCATGTATTGAAGTTTGCAGTCTCTGCACTTGGTAAAGGTAATAGTGATTAAGCAGGGAGAGGAAGATAGAAGAGGGAAGTAGTGGGCAGAATTTAAACTTTGAGTAAGCATATTGGGATGCTTGGAAGTTTTTTAAGGAAACTTGCTCAAGATAATTTATTTACAGAGCTCGCTTTTTTGTTTGCTTTACATTTCAACCAAAGACCCATGCTTTTATGCATCCCCCTGCCCTTTAGGTAGAGGTGTACCCATGAGCATGAAGTTGATGGGTAGCGGCAGTGATATTCCCGTGTGTGTTTTAGTACTTTGATTACTTATGTATGAATCTATTAAATATATATTGAATTATTTGTGTATTTTGTTTGGTAAAATTTAACATCAGAGACCTTTAAGAAAAATCAGAATACAATTGAGCTATTATGCATATATAGGAGAGCTGTTGTAAATAGAGAAGTGGCTTAAAACAAGTTGGAATGGGAGAAGCTACTTCTCAGTTGAGCTTGCTTATTAATGGAGCATTTTCCTAAGATCCTGAGAGGAGGTAATAAGATATATAATTTCTAGATTTGCAAAAAAAAAAAAAAAATCAAACACATTTTCTGGAGGGAGAATGCCAAGCTGAGATGATAATCTGTAGGACTCTCTTACATGGAAATGCAAATGAGTCAATGAACCAGTTGGAAAAAAATAAACCAAACTAAGATGTTATACTCATTCCTGGCTATCAATAATGGTTAAGAATAAAACCTAGCAGCATCATAGGCTGCCAAAAATGTGTAGTATTTTTCTGTATCCAAAGTGACTAGCAAGATGCTTAACCTCTTTAAAGGGACATTAGAAACAGCATAATCTTAACATTTATATAGAATCACACTGTGTGAATGTGTGACCATTTCACTTCTAAAAAATACATTTTCAATGCTAAGAAAATGTCTAGAGAAATATATAATGGTATGTACCTCCTTAGAGTTTTACTATGCATTCTTCAGTCTCTACAGGTAAGGACTGAGGAGGAGATGATTCAAGTTAACAGAATCACATAGTGACAATTGTTTATTATCGTTTGATGCTAGGATTCCAGGGGCATCTCTGGGTGTTGGAAGAAAGTCACCTTCATTTGGTGAATTGTATTTATGAAAAACTTAATATCTCAAAATGTTCAATCAGGTGAAAAAGAAAGAACATTTTAAAAGATCTAATTAAATTGGTGGATGTTAGAGCCTTACTGAAAGTTAACTTTAGGACATTGGGGTGGGAGGGCATTCTGAATGTTTTTAGGACAATGTCATAAAGGGCAATCACCGTGCTCTCCCAGGAGACATATATTAGTGCCATTGTCATATATAAGGCTGGGTGAATTCTTGGACTCTGACCCATTTTATGGTGTCTGTTTACTGTCTTCATTCCTCACATAACTCTTCCAACTCTGCCTGACTTCTCTTTGGATTGTTTTGCCATCTCTTGAAACTCAGGATGTCCCAAACCAAACCCCTCATCTTTTTCTCTAAACTGGTGCCCTCTCCCACAGTGATTCTGCAAGTCTCCCAGGCTTGCAGCATTGGAGTCTTGCTGACTACTTTCATTCTCTTCTCAACTGAAATCCTCTCCCTGTTTTCTCTAAGTCCTGTGCTTCAGTCAGGGACCCACCAAATCTCAGTTTGCCAGTGAAGCCTTTGTCACTGATAGCACTTTCTCACTTGAAATAGCACCCGTCCCAGGGCATGTAACATTTATTGTCTCTAGTACTCAGCTTGACACTTAGTCTCACACAGCTACAGAACTTTCCATGTTTATCTTATCTCTCCCAGTTGATTGTAAGCCCTGCGGAAGCAGTGACTGTATTTTATGCTCCCCATGGTGCTTATCATGTGGCAGGCACTAAGTTAATACTTTCTGGATTGGAATGCTTTAAATGCAAGTGACCCAAGGAGATGGTTGTCTTGTACTGTCTTGCTAAAAGTGGTTTTCATTCTTTGTAGGTTTCATGTGGACAAACTCTCTTCAGCTCATGTATACCTTCGATTACATAAGGTAACTGGATTTCAACATGGATTCATAACTTTTTCTTTAGTGATAAGCATCATATCTTGTCCTCTGTTCTTTTTTCTGCAATCAAACTGCTTAAAGTACTAAATATGTAAAAAAGTCTGAAAATTAGCAAACAAAGAGATGTTTTTCCCCTCCCAGAAAATCACTAAGGCAAATTCTGGTGATTTCTGAGGCTTGGATATAGTGCCTATTTCCCAGCTACAAGCACTGCTTTTCCTGCCAGTTCAGGTGTGTGCTCTGTCACCTCTGCTTTCTCTCCCTTTCATTTCAGTTGACACTACTGGACTTTCTATCTTTGCCAGTGGAGATCATGCTGTGGTTTCTTTTTTGCTCAGGCTCATGTGATTTTCCTGTGTTACCAAGGGCAGATGTTCCCAGTTATCAAGGGCTTTGGGAGGTTTAAAACAGCATTATAGTAGTAAAGGGAAAAGATTTAATGTTCCCTAGTAACATAAAACCACTGTTTTTCCAATCTATCTTTACATCCATATGTTATATTTTATATAGTTGAGTCATAGGGTATATATACCTGTTACGTGTATTGCTCTGTAAAATGTTTTATTTTGGAATGATTTTAGATTTACAGAAAACTTGCAAAAAGTGCAGAGTTTCCATATACCACACACCCAGTTTCCCTCATTGTTAACATTTTACACTACCATGGTAGATTTGTCAGAACTTAGAAGCCAACATTGGTACATTTATATTAACTAAACTGCAGACTCTATTTTGATTCCATCAGTTTTTCCATTAACGTTCTTTTTCTGTTCCAGGATCCAGTCCAGGGTCCCACATTGCCTTTAGTTGTCGTGTCTGCCTAGTCTTTGGTCTGTGACAGTTTCTCACTCTTCCCATTTCTCATGTCCTTGGCAGTTTGAGAAGTATGGTCAAGTATTTTATATTGGGCTTATCTGATGTTTTTGTCATGAATAGACTGGAGTTATGGGTTTGGAGGGAAGAATAGCACAGAGGTCCTCTCACCTGACAGCTAGGAAATGTATGTATTTATCCTAACCCATGTATACACTTCTATGTATCAGTTGTTTCTGTATCTCTCCATTTATATCCACATTTAGCTAAACACGAGCTCATACTAATGTCTCTGTCAAATCCATTACTACATGGGCCATTCTAGCCTTTCTTCCTTGCTTATTGTTAAGTTCCTTCTCAGACAGTGAGAAGCCTGGCTTCCACCATCCACCATTTATTTGCTTGCTTATTTGACTCCAATATATGTGTAAGTGGTTTCAGATTTGTTAACCCATATTCCCATACGAAACAACTTTATCAACTAAAGTACAGTGTTTATGTGCAATTGTTTTCAGTTTTTGCCTTACAGTTTTGAGTCAAAACAGTTTTCCAGTTACTTATAAGCTCCTCCCACCCCAACCCCCTTCAGTGATGTTGTGTCATACACTTGTAATACAATTAGATTTTTTTGTCTCAGTCCACATTCCAACCTGGCATCCCCTGGTTGATTGTTTTTTTGTTTTTTTTTTAAATATATCTGTTGATATTAGAGAGAGGAAGGGAGAGGGAGGGAGGGAGAGAGAGAGACACACATCAGTGATGAGAGAGTTGTCATTGATAGGCTGCCTCCTGCACATTCCTGACTGGGGATGGAGCCTGCAACCTAGTCATGTGCCCTGACTGGGAATCGAACCCAATCTCCTGGATCCTAGGTTGATGCTCAACCACTGAGCCATGCCTGGCTGGGTGATTGTATTACTTTTTAAGCAACAGCTTATAAAGCTTTTCATGTTACTGAATTTTTTTATTTTTTTATTTTTTGGCTGACTGCTTTGAGTTGGCAATATGCCACAATTAATATGAAACCTTCTATGTCAAAATTTAGATTGTTTACAGTTTTCAGCATTATGACTCCAACAAGAAATATCTTTTTTTTGGAGAGAGAGAAGGGCGAGAGAGAGAGAAACATCGATCGATTGCCTTCCATACTCGGTCACCTTGTTGGAGGATTGAACCTGAAACCTGAGTATGTGCTCTGACCAGGAATCGAACCTGCCACCTTTCGTTTTACAGGCTGACACACCAACCAACTGAGCCACATTGGCAGGGCAAGATATATCTTTTTATGAACTACTTTCAGTTTTTCTTTTGAAATATTTTTTAGAGTAATTATTAGAAATAGAATTATTGGGCCAAAGATATAAACAGTTTGGTAACTCCTTTTATGCCAGATTGCCCTCTGAAAGTATTGTGCTAATTTTAAATGCTATCACATAAATATAGGTTTTCCAGATACTTTTGGGAATTTTATAACTTTTTTAAAAAAAAAAAAAGCAACCTTTTTGATCATTTTAGTAAATACATGATGCTATTTCATTATGGTTATAATACTCATTTCTTAATTTGTTTGCAAGGTTAAGCATTGTGCTGCATCTTTACTTACACTTTTGTTTTTGAGAACTATTGTAAAGGAAAAATGGAGGATTGTGAACTCCGTGTTGAAACAAAATTATGAATTCTCCTCTGCCACTTCTTGCCATTTTGGAACTATTTTAAGTTTAGAAAAAATAGAGTGTGGTGTTACCAAGTTTCCTTTTGGTTCACATTAAAGTTTTTTCTTTGGATTCTGCTATGTTAGAAAATGGAAATAATGGTGGTTGTCCCAAGTTCACATTACCACCAGTTTTTACTTGAATAGAAGTTTTAATGTTATTTTCTTTTGGAAGCACATATTGTACTCAATAAAAATATGTGCTCTTTAAGGAACTCTTACCTGGTTGACCTCCTGCAGTAAGTATATGGCATGGAGCCCTTGTACCTAGTAGGTACCAAGTAAGTGTTGGATATGTAATAGGACTAAGTGGTTCAGAACCCAGACTCTGGGTTTGAATACGGGCTCTGCTGCTTGCTTTGTGACTGAACAAATTACTTAACTGTGCCCATTTTGTCTTCTGTAAAAGACAGCTAACAGTACCTATTTTATTGAGTCATTGTGAGGATTAAATGAGCTTGTCTATCTGAAGCACTTAGAATAATACCTGGCATATGCTAAGCACTATGTGTTAATTTTATTTTTTTTACTGAATTCAGTTGAATTCTACCCAAACCTTGAAGACCATAGATATTCAACTGTGCTCTTTCCTAGGCTTCTTTTATTTTTAAAAACTCATAGATAAATCTCACTTATCTAGAGGTTTCTTATTGTATTAACATAGATGGCACAAAGCCTACAGTTAAAATCTGACCTTTACATCTTGAGAGTACCTTAGACTCTCCACTCAGTTTGTTTACTCTGACTTTATGCATAATGCTAAGCTGAGTGAGGTTTTTTGGGTTTTTTTCCTGCTCATATTATATTAGAAGTTGCAAATCAGGAAGCTGAGATTGCTCCAGGAATGGTGACAGTCACAGGTAGTAAGAAGGGATATTGGGACATAGCCTGACATCAAGGCCAAGGAACTAGTATTTCCACAAGAACTCAGTAAGCACCATACTCTGGGGCCAATTCTTAGAGCATGGTTCTAGTTCTGGGTTTATCTATCAGTTCTGTCACTTAACTAGCTATGTGGGACCTTGGCCCAGTTACTTAACCTCACTAAGCTTCCTTTTCTTCATTGGTAAAATGAGGATAATACTATCCATTTCATATGGCTATTTACACAGTACCTGGCATGTGGTGGGTACTCAGAAACTAGTAGTTACTGTTTTGTTTTTTAATTATTCACTTTGGTTTATTTAGCATAGGGTCAATCAGCTCCTGTGTATTGTAGAAGCCCCTGAAGGCATCACTATAACTATATTATAGCCTAGTATAGTGGTTGATATTTATAATGATGACATTATGTAATCAAGATGTTAAATTCAGAATCCTCTATGTGGTCAGGGAATTGCACAGGATGAGATACATCATTAAAATAGTGACAAACTTAAATCACTTGGTTTGGGGTCAAAATTTATATATTTGAGAGATTCCCATTTAAAACATTTAATATAAAGAAAAAATGTAGAAACATAATGGAATACACTTAATTTATCTCAAATATTTATGTAGGTAGAACATTTCACTCCCAGGCATAACTGCGTCTGTAATACCATGCGTTGTATGAGCCAATACAGAGTTGATTTCCATTTGCTCTTGCCTCTGAAATATTTTTCTTCTTCTGAAATGGCTTTGCTTATTCAGCTTTGACTTTGATACAGTATCTGTAGAGAAAAGAATCAATATTATTTCTCCTTTATAGTGGGTGGTTTTATTTAACACACCAAGAGCTTGCTTCCTGATTAAGGCTGAGGATAGATGACCTACTAGATGTGTGAGATCCAAAACTATAAGATGTCTCTTTGAGAGGAAGGTCATAGGGACCTCAGCTAAGAAGACTTCCAGTTATCAAAAATAGACACCACTTCCCACAAGGTTTCTAGAAGTAAGAATGAGAAGAGAAATTACTCAGACATAATTACAGTTAATTTTTTTGTAATTTTCTTTCATGCCCTGTGTTTGTATTTTTTACTTATCAGTTTAAATAAATAATCCTGTAACATTCATTTTTCAGTGTTCTGAAATACAGCTGAAGAGCCCCTGCTTTTTCTTTTTTCTTTTTTAGAATGTTTTTATTGATTTCAGAGAGAGGAAGGGAGAGAGAGAGAGAGAGAGAAGCATCGATGATGAGAGAGGAACAGCTGTCAGCTACCTCCTACACACCCCTTTACTGGGGAACGAGCCCGCAACCCGGGCATGTGCCCTGACCGGGAATCAGACCATGACCTCCAGGTTCATGGGTGATGTTCAACCAACTGAGCCTCACTGGCCAGGCAAAGAGCCCCTGCTTTTAACAAAACCGTGCCTGGTAAGGGCAAAACTCAATGAGTGCTCTAGTATCAATCAGTAAGAAAGCAGTGGACCATTTGGTTTATTTTTGTGTTTCAGGGGGAGAACATAGAAGACATTCCAAAGGAAGTATTAATGGATTGTGCCCATCTTGTGAAGGCCAATAGCATTCAAGGTCAGTTTTCCTAGAGGTGCTTTCAGAATTAGCAATGATTTCTCTGTGTGAGATGGATTATGTTTTAGAGAACATGTTCCTGACTTTGGCTTGAATCTAAGGACTACCATGTAATATGCCTTTGCCCTGTTTTCTTTAAGATGGCAGTTCTTCTACCCACCAAAGAACTAAAAACTAATTTCCCCACCTGTCTAATATTTATGGCCCTATCTCAACTCTTTAACTTTGTTTTTCTTATCTTGCATAGTAGGTTGTCTATACCTGCCTACCCTTAAGGATATTTGTAGAGAGAGTTTTTGAAATCAGGCTGTGTTAATAGCTAAGCAAGAAATGTGTCTTGATGGCTTTATTTTTATGTTGCTTGATGGCTTTATTTCCACTCTTTGTCATTAGATACTAGAACTCAAGTCTCCAAGTCACTCTTTCCTTCTTCCCTTGTCCCTTTGTTCTCCCGGTAAATTATGAAGGTATCAAGTCAATTGATCTTTTTCTCCCAGAGAATCTTATTTAATTGGTCTGGGGTAATCCAGTGAGTATTAGTATGCTTGCCGTGCTCTCCAGGTGATTCTCATGTGCAGAGAGGGTTGAGAACAATTGGTGTTAAGTGTTTTAGGCAATACTGGGCTTGGTCCTTGTCTATTTCTACTGTGCAAGATTTAATCTGTCAATAGTAGTATAGGTTAAGAAGGACAATTATTGAGGTGGAGGTGGGAGTTAAAAAGGGGAGCCAGGAGACGGTGTTCTGCTAAGAATGTTTGAGTTAGTAGATTGGATTTTAAATATAGGACATAGACCTAGATAGGGTAGAGGTAAGTTTGTTTTGATATGAAGTTGGAGGAAGATCCAGAGGGTTGGAAAGAAATAAGGTTAGAAGATAAGCATGGGGCAGACACATAGCCAGTAGAAGGTACCAGGAGTTGGTGATTACAGAGCAGGAGCTGGGGACTGTACCCCCTTCCCCATCACTTAGACTGCATTTTCTGAGTCTAATTCAGCAGCTTTAATGAGTCAGGTACATAGCCAAAGAACGTGGAAGTCTTGTCTTACAGAGCCACTGGTTTTCAACTCCATAAATCATTAAATTGCAGTTAGTTTTAGAACATTCCATTTTCATGAGTAGAACAGTTTCTAAGATTTCCAGTTAAGATCTTCAGTTACTGACCTAAAAATAATATAAACTAAAACTATTATTCTCTTATTTGTTGCAACCTCTTTCACAGGTTCTTGTCTCATTTCCATGCCCCTGACTAGCAGATATGACTTTATTAAAAGGGCTTTAGACTTTTTATTCTTGGCCCAGCCTCTTTTTTTAAATCTCTGTATAGATTACTGGTTTTAGAGAAAACAATCGGAGAGAGGAGTCGTGACACAGAATTACTTTTCTCTCTTCAGCCTTTCACAGTGACAGTTCACTTAACAGAAAAAGGAGATGGGCCTAACTGAGAGTCTCACTCTTGTGAGTAAATAGCAGAGGATGCTGAGGAGTGAAGATTTCCTTTGCTGTGAGATTTGCTAAGTACTCCCCATTTGTGTAGTTAAAATGTCTTCCTCCGTGGTTGACCACCTTCAGCACTCAGAATCAAGGGAGTTGGGGTTAAACTTGTTTGTCTTCATAGAATCTGGTCAGACTGTTTTCATCTTAAACTTTCTAAAGGTTTAGACACTTTTCATGACACCCCCACCTTGTCTATTCAGTTAAGTCCAAACTTAAGCTGGCATTTAAGCATCTTTGATATGACTACAGAATTCCTTTTCCCTTCACATATTTCATGCTCCAGCCAAACCAAATATTTGGTGTTTTTCTACCTTTGCTTATGCAGTCATGTGTCACTTAGTGATGGGGATATGTTCTGAGAAATGCGTCATTAGGTGATTTTGTCATTGTACAAACATCATACAGTGAACTTACACAAACCTAGGTGGTATAGCCTGTTACACATGTAGCCTGTTCTCCTAGGCTACAACCTGTATGACATGTTAATGTGAATAGTATAGGAAATTGTAAGTATTTGTGTATCTAAACATAGAAAAGGTACAGTAAAAAATGTGGTATAAAAGATAAAAAATGGTACACATGTATAGAGCACTTACCATGAATGGAGCTCTCACGACTGGAAGTTGCTCTGAGTGAATCATCGTGTGAGTGTATGTGAAGGCCTAGAATATTACTGTACACTATTGTAGCTTTTATAAATACTATACTACACTTATAGTATTTATAAATACTAATAACACTATGCTTATTTAAAAAAATTTTTCTTCAGTGTAACCTTATCTTACTGTAACTTTTTTACTTTATTTTTATTTTTTTATTTATTGTTGAAAGTTTTACATATGTCCCCTTCCCCCCATTAAACCCCCCCACTCTCCTCCTGCCACCAACTTTTTTACTTTAAAAATTTTTAACTTTTTGACTCTTTGTAATAACAGCTTAAAACATACATTGTACAGCTGTACAAAAATATTTTCTTCCTCTATAACCTTATCTATAAGCTTTTTTCTAGTTTTAATTTGTTAAAATATTTTTTTTTTACTTTTTTATTAAAAACTAAGATACAAACAAACACATTAGCTGAGACTTCCACAGGGTCAGGATCATCACTCTCACTGTCTTCCACCTCCACGTCTGTCCCACTGGATGGCCGTCAGGGGCGATAGCACACATGGAGCTGCCATCTCCCGTGATAACACTGCCTCTCCTGGAACACCTCCTGAAGGACCTGCCTGAGGCTCTTCAGGAGGTGTCACTCTTTTCAGAAATAGGTCCACAGTGGTTTCCTTGGTTTGTTTTTTGTTTGGGTTTTTTCATCAGATTTTCTTGTAAGCAAATAATGCACCATAAATATTCTTCTGTATTAATGAAAACCTTTCGGTGTGGGGGGGTCCATGTTTTCTAACTTTTGAAGGATCTTGTTGAGGTCTGCAGAAGCTTCTGCTAAACCCTCCTTCACAGTGAATTTTCTTGGGGATTCTTCTTTTTTCTTACCCTGAAGCTTCCTGTTCTCTGGCCTCTTCTTCGGCTGTGTGTTCCTGTTCAGTCTCAGTAACTCCTCACTGGCCAGTTACTCAGGAAGCAGCTCGGGGAGCGCCTCGGTGTGTCATTGTCCGCGCTGTGTGCAAGCTGGTCGCCATCACAGCCACAGCCGCCGAGTTTTGCATCCTCCTCTTCCTTTGCACATCCTTGGCAGTCTCGGATGAACCTCCTGAGATGCCGTTCACACATCACTAGGCAATAGAAAATTTTCAGCTCCATGACAGTCTTACGGGACAGTCATCATATGCAGTTTGTTGTTGACCGAGACATCGTTATGTGGCGCATGAGTGTGTGGTTACCTCTGCTCTCCGTTTTGTCCCTGTCAGTCATCACAAGTCCACGTCCAAGCTAAGGTTCAAGTCCACATAGTAGTAGTAGTAATAGCTAACACTGAATGTTAATTATGCCTGACACTGTGGTAAAAACTTTACAAATTATTTTATTTATCAGCCCTTCTGAGTTAGATATTATTATTGTCATTTTATAGATGGGGTAGCAGAGCTTAAAGAGAATTAAGGAACTTACCCAAGGTATCAGAGCTCTGATGTGATAGAGGCTGCATTTGAAGTCAGTCTGACTTTGAAGTCTTCTGTCTTACCCACTAAACTATATTAACCTCTCTCATGGAGCCTTTCCCTTCCTCCAGCTTTGAGTGACCACTGCCCTCTCTGTACCTTAGCATTTTACCTGTACCTTTCCAAAATTTGATGAGTTCTACTTTTAATTGAAGTTATTTATTTACTTATCTGCCCCCCTTTAGTTCTTGGAAGGCATTGTCTAATCCATGTTTGTATCCCTCTTGTTCACTGGAGATTTTTTAAAAACTTAATTTTTAAGAAAAACTCCAACCTACCAAAAAGTTGCAAGAAAAACACAGCTCTCGTATATGCTTCACTTAGATTGAGCAATTTTTATTTATTTGCTTTCTCTCTGTAATACACTTCTGATGAACTTTTTTAGCTGAATAATATGAAAGGAAATTGTAGACACCATAACCCCATCATTTATGTCCTGAGAACAAGGACATTTTCTTAAGTGACTGCATTACAATAATCAATTAAGGAAATTTAACGTAGATCAAATATTCTAATAAACGTCTGTATGTAAGTTTTCCCAGTGTTCCAGTACTGTCCCTTCATAGCATTGTTTCTGATCCAGGATCATGTGTTATATTTACCTGTCATGTCTCTCTAGTCTCCTTTTATCTGGAGACACTTCCTTGTCTTTCACAACACTGATGCTTCCAGAGTGGAGACCAGTTGTAGAATATCCCATGATTTGGATTGGTCCGGTGCTTCTTGAATAGGATCACATTACGAATTGTCAGGCAGTAATACTTCATAAGCGAAGTAGGGTGATAGTCACCAGATTTCTCCAACACACGTGGTGATTTAATAAACTGAAATATATTGCCATCTAATTTTGAAGGCCTTAAAGAGTGTTGGACCACCCATTAAACTGTGATTCTTCGAGTTGCCTGGGAGGCTATCGGTGTAGAGGGGAAATGGGAGTTGAAGGTGGTGAGAGGGGAAGAGAAGCAGTAAACGGTATCTGGCATCCCTTTCATCCAGAGCATCTCTGCTTTGATTACTTTGATATGTTCCTTTGGTAAAAATGGTTCTACTGCTAAAAAGAAAAACAAAGAACAAAAATTTTACTACTCTGGTCCAGTTACCTCATGTTTCAGATGAGATTCCGAGAGCATTGTGGACTTTCCCAAGGTGGCACAGCTGGTTTGTGGTAGGGCCAGGATAGAGTGCAGGCCTCTTGAATCCCAGGCCATGGCTTTTTGCTTTATCTTGCTGCATAACCTTTATTGGATCAAGGACTCCTCCCAGAATCTGAACAAATCTGTTTAGACCTTTTCCCTTTAAAAGCCGCATATAATAAGTTCAACTTTAGAGAGTTTCAGAAGTCCCTGGAGCAAACCTATGGACCCCTGCTTGCTTCTGTCATACTTTTGCTTAAATCGTGTTTGTTAGCTTTACCATTTGCCAATTGAGGGTGGTTTTTTAAAAAAAGTATTTTGTGGTTTGAAACACGCGATACCTTGTTCATTCTAAGCTTTTTTCCTTTGTTGGATTGTGGTAATTTGCCAGTGGGTAAGGGAGCACTTTGCTCAGTGTCGTCCTGCCTGCATGTTGAAGATAGTCTCTCTTGGCAGGCTGCAAGATGAACAACGTTAATGTGGTATACACACCGTGGTCTAACCTGAAGAAAACGGCTGACATGGATGTGGGACAGATAGGCTTTCACAGGCAGAAGGATGTAAGTGTCCGCACTGAGGGGGCGGAGCCCTACGAGTGGAGTGTCATCTTTTCTGTCTAACATCTTTGTTGAGGGCTCAGCATACTGTATGTTTTCTAAAGGGAATCAAGCTGGGTTGCTAAGCCCCTGGAAAGCCTCTTCCCTGTTCTGGGGAGAAAATCATATAATAAAGATTCAGTGTTTTTTCCCGTATCCCTCAAAGGTGAAAATCGTGACAGTGGAGAAGAAAGTGAATGAGATCTTGAACAGATTAGAAAAAACCAAACTGGAGCGGTTCCCAGACCTAGCAGCAGAGAAGGAATGCAGAGACCGAGAGGAGAGGAATGAGAAAAAAGCCCAAATTCAGGAAATGAAAAAGAGAGAGAAGGAAGAGATGAAGAAGAAGAGGGAAATGGACGAACTTAGGTATGTTGGAGCTATAGCATTGGTATTGACCTTGAAGATTCTTTACTGTGTTTTATATGAGTTAGAAAAAGACATTTATACTCATGTGTTGGTCAAATGGGTTACCCTTTTATAGGGGCAGGATATGAGAGTGTATGAAATAAAATAGCTAATTTTATTCTCGGGATAAACCATAATAAGTTATCCTCAAAGTTTTGTTTATAAACATCTTCAGGAAAAGAAAAAATGCTATATTGAGTGTTTAACATTGACTAGCTATGATATTTGAATAAAGTTGTCTTTGCTCTAAAGACCAGTGCTAATAAGTCTTAAAAGTTGTTTTTAAAAGCTCTTTTTTACATTTTATATATTTATTTTACATTTTGAAAGTCCAAAGTAATTAATGTAGTGAGGTCTGCTCCAAAACACTGCATTTTTTTTCTTTTTTATTGAAGTGACATTGGTTAATAAAATTAAATAGTTTTCAGTTGTATGATTCTATAATACATCATCTGTATATTGCATTGTGTGTTCACCCCAAGTCAAGTCTCCTTCCATCACCACTTACCCCCCCCATGTCCTCTTTTACCTCTCCCCACCTCCCCTTTCTCTGTGGTAATCACCATACTGTTGTCTGTGTCTATAATTTTTTTTTTTTCAAAACACTGCATTTTTTTAATATTTTAATGCTTTTATTGAATTTTAGAGAGAGAAACATCCATCAGTTGCCTCCTATACGCACCTTGACCAGGGGTCTAACCCACAACCTGGGTAATTGCCCAGACCAGAAATCGAACCAGCAGCCTTTTGGTGCATGGGATGACCCTCCAACCAACTGAGCCACACTGGCCAGGGCATCAAAACACTACATTTAAAAATAATAAATAGTAACTAAAATATAATTCAGATCCTGAAATTCTAGTGTATAAGGCCATACGCATACTTGACTATATTAATTTTCTATTGCTACTGTAACAAATTACCACAAACTTAGTGTCTTAAAACAGCATAGATATATTATTTTATAGTTCTTTATGTTAGAAGTTTGATGTAGTTCTCACTGGGCTATAATTCAGGCATCCGCTGGACTGTGTTCCTTTCTGAAGCTCCAGGGGAGAATCTGTTTTCTTTTCTAGCTCTTAGAGGCTGCCCACATTTCTTGGCTTGTGACCCCCTTCCATCTGCAAAGCCAGCAACATCGCATCTCTCTGACCTTTCTTCCACAGTCATAGCCCCCTCTTTAATCACAGCTTCTTTGCTTTCAAGTTCTAGTATGATGACTTTGGGCCCACTCAGATAATCCATGGTAATCTCTCATCTAAGATCCTTAACTTAATCACATCTGCAGAGAAGATATGAAGTAACATATTTATGACCGGGGTCTAACCCACAACCTGGGTAATTAGCATGTGAACGTCTTGGGGTAGTATCATTATTCTGTCTCCCACACTGAATCTATAGATGTATAGTACTATACCTGAAGAGCCCATAATTTTTCTTCGTGAAAAGAAGGAAGTTGATTCTGTGACTTTTGTCACAGAATTCCTAGATTTTCCCCACAGTTGTCCATAGATATTATGTGTTAAATATACCAAAAAGAAGAAGAAAAAGTGTTGATGTTATTCCTTTGGGAATGTGTAGTATCAAAGTGAGCTCTCTTGCCATGTCCTGACCCAGTTGCCTTGAACATCTGGATTATTAGAAAGGTTGTCAGAATTCTGTGGTATGATCAAGTAGTGGAACTTACTAGTTATCCACACATATTCCTGTTGGGGATTCTGCTAAAACAGAATGAGGGACTACATTTAAAATATAATATTCAAACGGAGAACTCCCAAAATGTTATCCTGAGTTATATTTGCTAATGTGGGACAGACTAATACTAGATTTAAACATTTGATACGATCTAGAATTATAAGTCTGCTTCTGTTAGTAGTGAAAGAAAAATGATCAGCTCATCAGTTCTGTGGAAGTTTGAGTGATGTGGGATTTAGAGTAGTTTATTCTTTTTTGTTTTTAGTTCAGCATGGGGAAAAAATTGAAAACATGTCTTTTTGTGCCCTTTACAAATCTGAAATAATTTTGTCTGGATACATAATATTGTATGTTAGAAATATAGTGTCATTTAATTTTCTCATAATATTTAATAAGAAAGAATACCTAACATTTTTGGACACTTGTCATCTGCCAAACACTGTACTGTGCTTTACTGCATTATCTCATTTAATGCTAACCATAGCCATATGAGGTAGATAATTTTTGCACTTTGTAGATGAGGAAACTGAGACTAAGAAGCAGTTAAGTAACTTGCCTAAACTCATGTAGCTAGTCTTAGTCTGATTCTCAATTTTACATACACTATTACCATACTCTGCAGCCCTCTGTTTAGTCTATTCAATGTTAAAGTATTTATTCCATATATATCAATCAAGTAATACATAGATGCCATAATTTACCTTAAATTACATTACATTTTTGTTTCATATTAAGCTGTATACAGCTAAAATTTAGGGAATTTTGTATGTTTGATTTCACTATTTTAAAAAGTTACAAGCATTTAAACAGAAGAATCCATTTGCTAAAACACAGTTTTCATATCTTCTGGACTTACTTTATAGTGTCAACAATATATAAAATACTCATGTAAACAATTCTCGTTATTCAATAAAATTTTGGATTCAAAAGTTTAATCATTCCCATTTTCTAAGCTGTCTCTAGTCATTTGTAGTTGTTCCACTTGTTTCTTCAGACATAAATTTTTATATCGCTCTGGTACATGTACATAAAAAGGAAAATGTAAGTGGAATAAACTAGAAGTCACTCTCCTAGTCCATGTTTTTCCTCATAATTTTATCCCTGCTGCTTGCCTCCCTCCCTCCCTTCCTTCCTTTGTTTATTTATTTTTGTTAATCCTCACTAGATTTTAAAGAGAGAGGAAGGGAGAGGGGAAGAGAGAGAAAAAGCGGTGTAAGAGGGACACGTTGATTGGTTGCCACCCGCACACGCCTCGACCAGGGCCAGGGATCAAACCTGCAACCTAGGTATGTGCCCTTGCAGAAGCTGCAAGGGGCTGATGATTAGAGATGCTTTGTTAGGGGAAACGAGACCACAAACTTACATCATTTGTTTTCTGAGTGGTGTGGGCAACTGGACTTTCAACAGTCGGCTGACTCTGGTCAAGCAAGTGGGGTTGTGAGATGAGAATGATGGTAATATATGATCAGGTATTTCTCAACGTCCTAGTTTCAGCCCAGGCATGTTGAACAAAAAGTTTTGTTGGTCACACAGTTACAGTACAGGGAACGTTATTTATTGACAACGCAAAGAGTATGATTTATCAAACAGTACAAACAGCACAAGGGGGGCTGCTTGCTCTGCAGGTGGTTTAGAAGCCCAGAAGGGCAAAGTTATGCTTTGTAAGCAGCTTCAGAGCTCAAGCTGCAAAAATCTAAATATTGGGCCACAGGTTATGATATTAAAGCTCTTATAAGTCCTCAGTGGTTACATCCAATGGTATAGTCCAGTGAAAGCTTACCTGGCTCTATTTTAACTTTGTATTCTCTTATTTAGTTTTTGTGGGACTGTAGCAAACATCAAAGTCAAGCTCACCATGTGAATGTTGAAATAAACAAGAGTCAGGGAAATGTAGTTAATAGAGGATAAGTGAATAACAGGTCAGAAAAGACAAAAGGTAAGAACTGTGGCAACCTGAGATAGGGATATTTAAAGTACGCATCTGGGAGATCAGAATTGGAACCTAAGGCTCAGGTGATTGAAGTCAGAAGTACAAGACCCAGGTAAAATGGCAAGTCACACAGGTAACATGCATCATCAGTTTGAACATTGACATGAACTTGATTTGGGGGCAGAGACTACTTCAGCAAGGAGGTTAATATGTGAAATGTAAAAGGTTATAGTTGATAAATGGCAAAGCAGGAATTCAAACTCAAGTCTGTCATTCCGAAGTCCATACTGCTGCAATACCATGCTGCTTGTAAGTCAAAGAATGAACAAGTTGGCAAGGCCCAAGTCAAGGTTATACCTAGGGAAATAAAAAGAATAAAAGGTTTGGTTCAGTCCAAAATTTCATGTTGTGAGTGTTAAGGAGCCCTTGGAGGTTTCTTGAGATATAAGGAAGAAGTAGACTTGTAAGGATGATGAGTTTAGTGGCAACATGTAGAAAGAGATAATGGTGAGACCTTGATTAAAAGGATGATATAGCCTGATGTGGAAATGACTCCTTTAATTGTACCTCTTTTTCTCTCTGACGCACTACTACTGCTGCCTTCTATAAATAATGCTGTGTGCCATCACTCTTCCTTTTAATGATAAGCTCTTTCAAAGAAGCACTCAGATGCATCCTGGTGTCCCCTTATATGTGACCCAGTGCTTTGCATATACAGTGAGTGATTAGTCAATATATTATAAATGAATAAGTAACTGAGATTAGCTTCCCTGATACAGGGATTCTTGAGCTAAGATCAAAACTATGTTTGCTAGTTAAAAGGGGTGGCGAGATGGAAATATAGCTCTAAGCAGAGGGAATATTTGTGCAAAGACCCTGTGTGGGAGGGAGCGAGGCAAAACACAGGACTAAAAGTAGGCCCAAATGTCTGGAGCAGCTGGCATGAGGGATCACTGGATCAGGGTACCCGTCCATGCAAGGCCCCATAGACCATATTTGTCTTCATCCTAAGAGTTGTGTAAGGTTATTAAGCAAGAGGTAGTATGATAAGGTTTGTACTTTGCTGACCTGATTGGAAGAAGAACCCAGGTGGGTGTGACTAGGCCAGGTAGGACACAGTTATCCGCATCACAGTGGTACCTTGGACTGTGGTGGTGATGTGGAGGTGGAGAGACATGAACCAATGACAAGTAATTTTGTAGATAAAATGACAGGATTTGAATGGAGATAGATTGGATTGAGGGGAGAGACTGGGGAAAAAGAATGACTCCTTGGTTTCTGATTTGTGAAATGGAATGGATAGCCATACAGTTCTTTGAGGTAGGGGATACTGGAAAAGAACCCAACCTTTTGTTTTGTTTTTGTCAATCCTTAGGATATTTTTTCCATTGAGGATGGAAGTATCCACAGGTTTTTTTCATTAATCTTTTTAGAGAGAGTGGAAGGGAGGGGTGGGGGAAGGGGAGAGAGAGAAACATCAATGTTAGAGAGACACATGGATTGTCTCCGACACGCATCCCAGCCGGGGCCAGGGATCGATCCTTCAACCCAGACCCATGCCCTTGACTGTGAATCAAATTCGAGACCCTCTGGTGCAAGGGCCAATGCTTAACCAGTGAGCCACTGATGCCCTGAGCTAGGGCATCAACCATTTTTGATAGTGGAGAAGACCATGAGTTGGGTGTGGATATAAGAAACTGAAAATACCTTTGAGGCATCCAAAAAAAATAGGGCCCTGGCCAGTGTGGTTCAGTTGGTTGGGTGTTGTCCTGTGCACCAAAAGTTCTCAGGTTCAGTTCCCTGTGAGGGCTCTTGCCTGGGTTGTGTGCTCGATCCCCAGTAGAGCAAGTACAGGAGGCAGCCAGTCGATGTTCCGCTCTCACATCAATGTTTCTCTCTCTCTCCCTTCCTCTCTCTCAAAATCAATAAAAATATTTTTTAAAAAGAGTCAGGCTGTTGGATGGATGGGATTGATGGATCTCAGAGGAAACCTGTGGCCTAAAGAAGGGTAAATTTGTGTTTCTTTCGTATAAGTGGGTATTTAGATCCAGTGGTTCTTGAACCTGGGTTATAGATGCCCACAGTGGAGCATCTGTATGTTTTAATCTTCACTGGTGATTTTAAAATGCAGCCAGGATTGAGATTCTCTGTTATAACCACTTTTTACTTTCTGCTCGTGCAGCTTATTGATTTTATCTGTTTATTTCTTATAAATACCACTTACTGTTACTAATATCTCTTTCTGGATGTCATCTACCAGCTCATTGTCTCTTAACTGTGACAGTTCTCTTGCCCTTTAGTCCTCAATTTTCAGCTTCTACAGTTCATATTTACTTGGATGTCTCACCATTACATCAGAAGTAGCATGTTCCAAACCAAGCACATCTTTGCAACATTATCTCATTTCTCTCAGTTGTACCATTGTTTCACCCAAGCTAGAAAACTTGATGTCATTGTTGATTCCTCTCAGATTTATCCCTTTTTACCAGCACAGCTGTCAACGCTGTGGATTCATGTCCTCTGGTTGGGATATTGCAGTAGACTGGAACATGATGGCAAGAGTGTGAGTTTAGGAGGCAGAGCTGGGTTCAAAACCTAGCTTCTCTGCTTGTTAGCTGTGAGACCTTGGCTAGCTTCCCTAACTTCCCTGACTGTGTATACAGTGGGCTTGGTACCAGAGCCCTTGCTTCATGAGGTGGTTGTAGGAATTGGCAGTAATTTATTATGTACATAACAGAGGTCCTAGCAAATAAAGGATACTTGGTAAATGGGAAATACTATTATTATTAACTGATCTTTGCTTTAGTCTCCCTTCCTCTCTCCTGTCTGCTACAGATTATTATTCTTTAAAACACTGGTATCATACTGTCTCACTTTCTTTTGTCTCTGTGTATTTTTAATATAACTTTTTGCATAGCTATTGCTGAATAGATCTTATTTCCCCTCCTGGTAAGTTCTTTGGGGGCTAGGTTTTGTTTTATTCATCTTTTTCTATTTTCTTCCTATCCCACGCTTCACCAGGCTTAGCACAGGGTCTTACATATCATGGCTACTTAATAAATACTTATCAAACCTCATATGTCTCTTTTCTATCATGTGTTGTGGCTTCTTGCTGATCACATTGTGTTAACTCGTGCAATTAGGACAATATAATTGGGCCTCACACACCCAGCCTGATTTCCCAGTACTTTGCTTTTAGACCCCACTTGAGTTGGTTTGATTGAGTTGGTTCAAAATACCACTGTGGATACCACCTTTTTGCCTTTGTTCATACCATTCTCTGAATCTGTCCCCTCACCTATCCCCACTTACTGGGCTCAGTTTGGGTTCTACCTCATCTGAACAGAGTGCCCCAACAACCCATCCTACATTGATGCATATATTGTAGTCTCCTTGAGGGCAGGGATTGTATTTTTTGTTTTCAAAAGACCCTCAGCAGTGCTAGATACACATAATGTTCATGTAATTCTTGCCAGCTGGATAACCTTATTTTCAATGTTTTTCTTCCAGGAGCTATTCATCACTAATGAAAGTTGAGAATATGTCTTCAAATCAGGTATGCTCAAGCTATTTGCTCTAATGTCGTGCCTTGAAATAATTCACTAAATTTTTAATAATTGAGTTACTGGCCAATATTGACTCACATGTTGCACAACTATAGAACACTCAGGTGGATTCTATTAGACATTGCCCCTCCTTCCTTGTGGACTTCCTCCTGTTTGTTTTTCAGTGGGTCACCTTGTGTCATACCTTGTCTATTGTGAAGTGTGGGTCTGTTAGTACTTACAGGGCTTTCTCATTCCTCATTTCCCTCTTTCCTAGTTGCAGGCATACAAGAGTGCCTGTTTTATTAGTGTTCTGTATTAATGTGACTTTAGATTCTATATTATAACTGAGTGAGAATAAAACTATCACCTTTGATTAAAAAATAAAACAGAAGTATTAACCCTAAGATCTTATCTGTAGTGTAACTACATTGGTTGTTTTCATGTTCCTCAAGACCTGAGATTAAGAGAAATGGTAATCTGTATTATAGTACTGAAAGGATCTTCTTAGCATTACCTAGTTATTTTACAGGAACTATGTCAAGGATTTATTGTCCATGAGTACTATCTTTCCCAAAGTTTATTTTGAAGTGTTTGGAGGTAGCACAATTTAGCTATTGTTAAACAGTCTAATATAGTTTACAAGTGTGCTTTAGATTTGTGTTTTCCAATATGCTAGGCATGATTGCATGTGGTTATTTAAATTTAAGTTAATTAAAATTTAATTTAACTTAAAAATTTAATTTCTTAGTCATGTTGACCACATGTGTCCAGGGACTACCATATTGGTGCAGAAATAGAATATTTCCATCATCACAGAAAATACTATTAAACAGCACTGCTTTAATACTTGGAAATAATTAACAGAATTGAAATCCCCTTAAAGATCATCTAGTCAGACCCCATATTTATTGCATGAATTGGAATTGTTAATAGGATTTTACATCTTGTTCATATCTATATATCCTTCTGAATGTAATATAATATCTTTATTCCTAGGAGAACTAAATTTATGAGGCTTCTTTATGAGTCTGAGATGTATCTTTTAATTTATTCCTGAAAAATTCCACAGTAATTAAATAGAACCTTGAATTTGAAGTTTAGAGATGGAAACTGTCATTTACTAATTGAATAAGCTTAATAAAGTTATTTAACCTCTCAGGGTATATCCATCAGCAATAAAAAGGAGACATATTACCTCATAGGGCTATTCTAAAATTTAAACAAGGGCATATGTGAAAGTTCTTCCTTAGTCACTCTATGAATATAAATGGTCATTGTTATTTCTTACTCATATAGTCCTTAGTTGTTATTTTCCCACAAAGTATCAGTTTCAAAAGGTGAGATGTATATAATCCCTTCTGGAAACTATTCTTAGATTTCTTGAAACTGTTAAAGTAGTTTAACAGTTGAACAGAAGTCTTTAACATGCCCCAAATCTAATATCTTTGTTGTGGTGGTAGTTGCTTATTGAAGCTTTCCCTTAGGGGCTACTCTCCAGCAGAAATCTGGCACCTATATTATGTGTAATTTCAGGCATTTTCATTCCCATCATTATAGATTTTTAAAGTTTGGATGTTGATCTGGAATTATTAAGTAAACACACACATACACACATGAATGTACATATATATACAAATACCATTTGATTGTCAACAGATGTTAAAAGTTCTAGGATTAGGAAATCAGATTTGTAGATCAAAGGATTACTAATCCTTCTGCTTTTCCTCTCCCTCTGTTGCTTGCTACCCGTTCCCGAGCTCAGGTTTGAATCACGTTCAAGTTTCCAAGGAAGTTTTGCACTTGGTGATTTGATTATTTCTTGCAGTGGAAGGGCTCTTAAAGCTTTTTCTTGTACTTCAAAAGAATAAGCTTTAATTCTCCTTGTAACCATCCTCTGTTAAGGGGATACAGACCTTTTATGTTCCATTTTGGCAACATGATCAGTTAATTTTCAGTTAAAGGCTGGTGTTTAAGTGGGAAAAATATTAGTCTTCCACTCTGAAGTTGGTTTTAATTTTGAGTTTGTGCTCTCCTATTTTAGATTAGTTCTCTTCAATGAATAATTTCTTTCTACCCTTTCTAAATTTGGTATCAGGAACCATAACAATTACTTTTAACATTTTATGCGCTTAGCATCTTATAAGTGGACAACAGGAAACCTATTTTGCTATATTGAAAAGCATATTCACTCTTACAGAGAATCTAAAATATAAAAATTGTCCTAATAAAGTCTTGGAGCTCAGATATATATTTAAGTTACTATAATCCTAAAATACAGATTCTTAGACACATGAGATATAACTCATGGACTTTATAAGGAATTACGCATTTTCATCGTCACCAACTGAAATTATCTTGGTGAGTTTTTCATTCTCAGTGTTTGGAATCTAAAGCTAACCTTCAGAGATAGAGGATGACTCTTTCAACCTCTCTAATGCTATTAGTCAGTTCAGGACTCTAGTCACAGTTCTTGTGCTTGCATAAAAGACAAACATTAGTGTGCTCTTTGTATAGTTTTTATATAAGGCATTTTAAATATGGCCTCAGTTTGTTAGGTAATTGAAGAGAAGTTCACAGAAAACTCCTGAGTGAAACTGGAGATTAAACCAGGCTTCACGGAAACTGTTGTTTCCTACCTGTATCTGTATTTGCCTACTTACCTCAAGTAGGAGCTACTAAGAAGGAGAAAAGCATGTATACCTATAAACCCAAGTCCTCTCTGACAGCTCGGGTATGATGCAGTGGGAACGTGAGAGAAGCTGAAACAAATGACATTCAAGTGGTGACATTTTCAAGCTAATGTACCAGAACTTGCGCTATTAGTGAATGTTAGCCTTCAGTGCAGTTTCTTAGGGTGTGCAAGTATCTCAAAAAATGAGTCTGGGCTCTATTTTTGTATTTGATCTTTAGGACTTGTTTATATTCCACACAATCAAATCAGCTCCTTTATGCTGTACACAAACATAAAAGGTTTTTTAATCAAAAACTTGGCAAGCCAGCTAACTTGATAACTAGCCTATGGCTTCCTAATAATTTTTCCTAGTTTTTTTTTTAAAAAAATTCAAAGCCATCTGTGAAGTCACAATTATGTGACAACCTTGAAACTCAAAAGAGTGCAATTTAGGCCAAAAGTATTGTTGCATATAGGCATCGTTGGCATAAGGATATTGAGGCAATATTTGTCTGGTCTCCTATTATATGGCATATTTGTTAAAGGAGCAATTGCATTTTTTTGTTACCTCCTATACTCGGTCGGTTGGGCCTTATATCATAGTTTGGATATCATTGGTCGCCTGATGTGTAATCCAGGCCGTGTAATGACACCTTAGAGAATATAGCTGCTAATCACCTATTCTAAACAATTAACAATTTAAGATAGAGAAGTGATGAGTGAATTTAATTATTTTATTTTTTCTTTCTTAACTACAGTTAGGCATAAGGCGGCTTGTTACTTAAGACTTAATTGTAAATTTACAAATCGAGTTATTTATTTTGAAGGCTGTTATGGTTTCACTTTTTTGTTTCCTACAGGACGGCAATGATTCAGATGAATTCATGTGAATGGAGAAATGGACCTTTTAAAGATGTGAATTTAGGGACAGTTGCAGATGTTTTGATGTCATCCATGTTCTGAATTATGAAAAACAACCAATCTTCAGTCTACACAAATATCAACTTGGGAGTTTAAAAAAATTTTGTTCCCTTTTTTGATGACAGAAAAGGATCATATATATATATAATCAGATATAGTTGGACTTGAAGACAGAATATAACTTTAGGAAAGTGAAAATATATGTGCCTGAACATGTCTTGGTAGCTCACGAAAGTTGGCTGCCCTTGTTCTTGGGATAGACTTTAGAACAAACCAACTCTGAAAAGTATTTCTGGTACTGTGGTCTGTCCCTGAAAACAGATGTCTTAAAAAGCTTTTCATATTCTTAAAATAGCTTCACTTCTCTTCAGAAGAAGGTATTGGTGAGCAATATATAGGAACGTTCCTCTTACCCTCGATTTCCTGATTAGAAAAAGAAGCATATGGGTTTTAAAGATGATAGTGATATTTTCATTCAAGTTCCATTGTGTTGTCTGAGTCAATTAGCAGAGTTGTCCTCTGCTCTCAGCTTGCCCTGGCTTATACATTCTTCATCCTTATTATCTCTGAGTGAGGGCCTCTATCTAAGGTACCATGAGACTTAAATAAATAGTTGGTGTTAATCTAGGTTAGACCATGTGGCAGTTTTTACCCGAACACCAAATAACCCAAGCCACAGAGATTACAACTTCCAGGCCCTGGAGTTATTTCTCAGCCCTGAGGGGAGAAGTAGAAGGGAGGCTACCTGATTTTTGTCTTGGAATACAGTATAAAGCAGAAGTCCCATGTTGTAATTATGATTTTAAAAAGAATTAAGCCTTTCACTAGCCAGCCAAGTAGTTTGTTTATTTACCTTGAAATAATATTTATTTTGAGTTGTAACCCAAGAGTTCAGATTTCTCCATTGTAGACTCAGTAATTTATTATGTAACAGTACTACTCATTCAAACCACCTGCTTTCCAGTGTGATTTTGAATAGAAGATATATTTTTATTAAAGTGTGTAAGGTAACCCCCTGCAGAAAGAAACAAGAACAAAGCCTAAAGGCTAGGAGGCATACAAATTCACATTTTAACCACACCCAGAAGTGTACATGGAGCATTCTTGTTCTAACACAGCAAAAATGACCTCTAACAAATTTTCTATCTGTAATAGCACTTTGGAACTGTGGCTAAAACCAAAAGACTTCAGTGTTTCTATGTATCTCAAGTTGGGGTATGGGGTTGAACTGGAAAATTCTCTGAGGCATAAGTTGGCCAAATTTTGAGACAGAGTTTGGGAGACAATTCCAGAAATTAATGTTTGTGTGTGTGTCTAATGATATTCAACCTGGAGTCATGTGATTTAAAAATGTAATAATAAAGAATCTTTTTTTATTTGGAAGGATAGTATTAGAATTTGCTTGTTATCTCTGTCCCCAAGCTGGTTTTAAGGGGGCTCTGGCTATAAAAAACACACAGCAAAAAACGTCACCTGTCATAGGCTCAATCTCTGGCCAGTTCTACAGGGGTATCTTCTCTCTCACTGATAACTGTCTTCCCCAGATGCCCACCGGGTCAAAGTGGTGACCTTTCCCAGACACACTGTTGATGGATGTTGGTAGTAGCTGTGCTCTCCAGCATCACCTGTGTCACCTCAACTTTCTACTGCTTCTGAAGGACTCCTCTGTACCCCATGTTACAGCATGTAGTAGATGGAGCCTTTGAAAGCTACATCTATTTTTGCTAGAGTTTAAGAGTCCCAAGGGTCCAAATTTTAAACGCTTTATAACTTTCAGCTTTAAAATGTCAAGGCCTCTCTTCCAAATTCTCCAAGTTGAATTCCCAGCTCTCAAACCTTTTCAGCTGCTCTGTGCTGTTTTCCTCCTACCTCTGCCTGTGTGTTGGGTAGTTTTTCCCCACAGCTCTCTTGGACCCAGAGAAAGCAAGGATCTTTTCTTCTGAGAACATGACAGTACCAGCAGGTCAGACTGTTGGCTCTGAAGTCATCTCATTTCTTGCTGTTGACATGTTTCCTAAACTTCCTATCAGAAAATTCCAAATTATTGGTATTTTTATGAGCTGTGCCCTTGATCAGATTCGTGCATCTTGAGGATTTCTCTTTCCAACTCTGTCTCCAGTTTCTGTACTCAGATGTGCATGCAGGTAAAATTCACTTTGTCATTTAATTTATTTCACAAACTGCTCTGTTACATCCCTATAGCTTTAGAATTTGTTTCTTATCCACCTTTGTGCACCTAAGTTACAACCTTTGGGCAAGAGCTTTGTCACAGAGCTTGGGAAGTTTACCAACATATGGAAGGTTTGTGCATTAGGAGGCAGCCATAGGCTGTAGCTGACTGAACCCTTTCAGTATCTTCTGTTACATTGTTTTTACTTTCTTGAAGCGAGGGTTTTGGTGAGACTTGTAACTGTTTAGTGCCAACAGTTTCCCTCAGGAAGGAGGGTGAGCACACATACAGCAAGATTAGAGAGGGCGAGTTCAGCTCTGGCCTCCAGTTTCAGAACAAAGCTCTTCCTCCACTTTTGCACCTGTCTGAGAGGGGTTGCTCTCGTTTTCCAGGCTGGAATAGGTTATGGGAAAAACTGAGCAGGATGGAGAAATGGAAAGAACACCTGTCCGGTTTTTCCTGAGCTGTGAATTGAAGCCTGCTCTTTCTCAGATTTGAAGTATGGCGCTGTGTATAACATATCCCATACTCAGAATGATCTACTAGAATGAGCGGGTGACCTTTTGATTTTAAAGTAGACTGTAAAACAATCAAACTGTAATTAAAAGTGTGAAATTAGAAACTTCAAGTCCAAGCTAATTGTCAGTCTCGACCCATCTAACTCCAGCAAGCATGTGGCAGCTCAGAAATGAGGGCAGCACTGCTCGTGCCCAACAGGCTCCCGTTCCAGTTCACTGAGTGGGAGCTCTTCTCTGCCCAGCACATGGCCTAGCACAGGCAAGAGACTTTATGTGCATTATATCATTTCACAAATGAGATGGTGCCAACTGCCTCTTGATCATGTCCTGGATGAATGATATGTAAAATATAATAAAAGCTTCTAGTTTAAGTAAAACCAAGTGTGTGTATGTGTGTGGGATTTCACTTTTCACCTTTCTCCTCCAAGACTCAGTCCAGGGATGTGCAGGTAGGGAGAAGGAGGTTCTTGGCTACTTGACGTGATGCCTTCAAACTGAATTTTGCTCTTTAGCAGGAGGAGAAGAGCAAATTAGTGAAGATTGCCCAAGTATTCCTGGAAGAGAGCCATAGAACCTGGAGCTCAAGGATCAGGATGTTTGAGCTCTAGTAATTGAAGTTTACAACTTGATCCCCTCTGCTCCCCCTCTCCCCCCGCTCCCCAATTCCTAGGATTCTGCCTGAGATCTTGACTAGGGCGAGGCTGCCAACATGAAGACTTGTTGGAATGGTATCACTGGTGAAGGTGGTGGCTTCAGACCTGGGTTCTATATATACATTCACCCCTTCCATGGTAGCACTTATTCTAACATCACTCAGTATGTTTGCAGAGAGGTATTAGGGTAGAGGGAGCTCCCAAAACATTCTCCCAGTGGTAAAAGCATATTTGAATTCTTAAATATTTATTAAGTGGGCATTTGGGTTATATTTCTCACTAATCAGGGTAATACCTACATCCTTTTGGTTATAACACCCTTAGCTACTAGAATTCTGGGATTTAAGGTTTTGAGTAAATTATTCTACATGGGGGAATGTTAGGTTAAAACCAGAATTTTCATATAGAAAAATGTAGAGATGCATGTGTATACTTAGTGGACTGAAGTATACTGAAAATACAAAAAGCTATCAAATGCCGTTTATTAACTGTGGCTTATCATTAGAATGTATGCACCTCTGTTTTTTGGTCTCACCTTGTTTGTCTTTCTGACTTCATGGTGGCCTCAGTTATTGGGGTAACTGAGCTTTCTACCTCAGCGGTTGTGACTAGCTCTTCATGCAGCCAGATGAAAAAAGAAACAGGTCTCTGCCCTCTGCTCTTGGCATGCACTGATTGGCGCTGACTTGGCATTTTCTGCCTTTGTTGACAGCCAAGGGATGGAGGCCAGGGGAGATGAATGCTCGCCCGAGAAGCCTGTGCAGCTTCTGCTAGTTTCCAAACCTGGTGAGTGGGTGTCAGTGTTTAAGGCTGGAGAAAAGAAGGAATTCTCCCGAGTCAGTATTGTTTTTCATTCCCACATCAACCCCGTCCTGTAGCCACGGCAGTAAGAACGTAAGACTCACGGCCTGACACTTCACATGCTGCCTAGCGGAGGCCTTTGCTGCCTGCGCTGTTGCCGGGGTGTTGGTTTCTGCCTCCCCAGTTCGCCTTGCACAGGGAAGGCTAAGACATTTCCTTATCGTTTCTGGGACATGCTTCTGAGAACAGCATTTTTCAGGTGTTACAGGCTGTTCTGTTGGTCTTGAACCTTTTTGGCTCTTTGGTCAAATTCAGGGTCAACAGGTCAAAATTACAGACTGAAAAAGGTAAAGAGAAAAATATAGAGGCGGTGTCCTTTTACCCTGCTCAGCCTTGCCAGACGTCTCTTCAGTCGGGAAGCTCTTAGTTTCATTATTTTACATCCCTTAAACTTTGACATTTTTATTTTATGGTTAGTGTACTCAGCATCAATGAGGCTTACATAACTGTTTTCAAAACTAGAATTGCTTTAAGAGTCTTTAGAAAGGGGTAGAAGGCCTGAAGCAGACAAAGCTTAGATTTGGTTACAGAAAAAGCCTTCCTGGTGCCTGTGGTTAGATATTTCTTTTTTCAACAAGAAAGGAAAAGATGTTCCTTCCCGGCACTGCCCAGAGGGAAGCCCCTCGCCCTTGGTTCCTCTTCTGCCAGGTGGGAAGCATTATGCTGCCGCATTTAAAACGAGCTGTTCCTGGGGCTTTGTGACAGTAAAACCTTGGTGAGCAGAACAATACATAGATTACCCGGACTTTTTTTTCTCCCTCACTTTTACCCGACAACCGCTCATATATCAGGGAATAAAGAGGGTAAAGCAAACATGCAAACCTTCCCTTGTTTCAGCATGCCAACCCGACTCCTTCCACCTTGTGACCCTGAGCTCCGCTGGGGGAGTGGCCCCCAGGACCCCCTGGGGTTCAGAGTTGGGAAGACTTTCAGATGTTTTTCTTTATGTGAGTAGGTACGCATGGTTCAGAATTCGAAAGGTATGCAAGGCCATAGGGCACAGCTTTTTAGGGCAGTGGAACTATAACGGTAGGTATGTGTCATTATACATTTGCCCAGACCTGTAGGATATCCAACACCAAGGGTGAACCCCAGCCCAACCGGCGTGGCTCAGTGGTTGAGGTCACAGATTGGTTTCTGGTCAGGACACATGCCTGGGTTGCGGGCTTGATCCCCAGTAGGGGGCGTGTAGGAGGCAGCTGATCAGTGACTCTCATCATAGATTAATGTTTCTGTCTCTCCCATCTTCTCTCTGAAATTAAAAAAAAAAAAGTAAAAAATTTAAAAAGTGTGAACCCCAGTGTAAACTGGACTCTGGATGATTATGATGTTTCAACGTAGGGTCATCAACTGTAACAAGTGTATCACTCTGGTGGGCTATTTTGATGATGGAGGAGGCTGGGAATACGTGTGTGTAGGGGATAAATGGGAAATCTCTGTAATTCTGCTTAATTTTGCAGTGAACCTAAAACTGCTCTAAAAAAGTCTACTGAAAAGAAGAAAAGGGTATGGGGGATAAGTGTTTCCAGTTTTCCTTCTTGGAGGCAACCAGTATTACTAGGTGGTGGTGGTTGTGTTTTATTAAAGGCAGTAGTTCTAGATCTGGACTCGGTGAACTTGGAGATTCTCGCCTGCTTCATGGCCTGGATGTACCAGTGGCTCAGCTAAGGAATAAGGGAACCTTTGCATACCTGGGGCATTTAATCCAAGAGAAAATGCTCAGCCATTTCCCAGACATCACACCTCGCTGCTGGGGCTTAGGGAAAGGTGGTGAGTTCAGAAATGCACGGGAACAAGGGAGTGGAGAGTGCCTCGGTGTCCCCGCCTACTAAGCAACCTCTGCTTGTGTACCAAGTTACAGAACAGGTTGTCTCTGAATACGCTGCTGTGTTCCAATTAAAATCAGCCCACAGGAAAGTGAACCAAGGATAGGAAGAAGGCCACTTGCTTTCGTCTCAGTTTGTGCTTCAGGACTGGCCTCAGGCAACTGAAGATGTCAACGCCCCAACTCCCTTTGATTCTCTCCCACCCCCAGTCTGCTACCTGAGCGACCCAGGGCCCTAGCACATTTTCTTACCGAGACAGAAGGATGAGAGGGAAGATGCGGGGGAGGGTGTGCACAGTAGAATGAAGCACAGGGAGCCATACGCCTCTTCCACCCCTAGATTTTACCTTTAGGAGTGTGGGTTATAGAATACAACTCAGCTACTTTTCTACCTGACTTAGACAAGTCAATTGTCCCCTCTCGGCCTCCTCGTGCCCACTGGAAAATGTAGAACAGGACTAGAGCAAGGATTATAAATTCCAGTGCTATAGCGGTCAGGCAAGTGATGGAAATGAGGGCCAGTGAGGCGAGGTGAGCAAGTGCGTGCATGCCCCGTGTGTGAGCTCCTGGCTCTGCCAAAGAGGACAGCTGCTCCTCTGCTCTGGCTAAGAATTGCCAGGGGGAGACAGAGTTTATAAGAGAAACCAGTGACTGACTGAGTCACTGAAGGGGCTGAACTTGATAGGGCAATAAAAAAAGAAATGGCCTTTTTCTTCCAGTCACTTTCTTCAGTACTCTCATTTCTCTTCCCTGCCCTTTGGTGACATCTTGGATGAATGGACCAGATTCTGTGACCTTCCAATCACTTCTCAATACAGGAACAATTTCCATTTTAAAATTACAACTTCCCTGTGTATATTAAGTCCCAGTCTCATTTAACTCACATTTGTAATCACAAATATAATTCAACACATCAACCCACCTTCTAGTTCAGGTCTGATCCTTCACTTTGCCTCTTCCAACTCAGCCCCATGCTCCCCAGCAGCCGGCTTCTCCAGAAGCGGGCAGAGGCTAAAAAGGTAGATTTAAGGAAGGTTAAGGCTTAACTTTCCTCCATGGGGGCCAAGGGTAGGGGTCTTTTGTGACAGTCACTATTGTAATCTGGTTATTGGTGTGTCTTGCAACTAGAATATGGGTGTACTCAACTACCTACAGCTCTCAGCTTTGACACTTCTGATACACAGTAGCAAATTACATTATAAATCTGATTTTTAAGTCAAATATCCCAATTCGTATATGTTAGCTCAAAATTATTCCACACTGCTGGACCAAACCAGGCCTGTCTGGGCTGTGCATTGCCCGTGAGCTGTCAGTTTGAGGATTCTGGGTTAGAACAAGTTCTAAGGTCTCTTGCAGCCCTCATTGTCTGTGAATTTATGATTTTCATAGATTTAGCAAGATCCACTGGAAGTCACCCAGGCTTTACCCTCTTAGGCAGCTCTCCCTCACACACACCTGGGAATTTTGGGTGGCAGAGGCCTTCTGGAAGTGTATTATCCTGAGTGCACACCACCAGTGTCCTGGAGAAACAAGAGATGAAGGCAAGGGCCAGCAGGTGGCAGGAGAGAATAGCATGGGTCTCAGCTTCCATGTCCTTGTGTGTCTATCTTGTGTTCTTGCCGTTGGGTGGTAGGTTGAACAAAGGACCTAGGTACCCCTCTGGTACCAAGAATCTTAAAGCACATCTAGAAAAGCTATACTTCTGGGGGTGGGAGATCGGCTTCAAGGTTCTTTGCCATGGAAATCTTAGAAATGTGAGGTAGACAATGCCCGAACCTTCTAAACCAGTACCATGTAATTTAAAAAGAAAATGGCTGTCAAAATATAATGTTTATATTTAAAAACAAATCTCTTGTTTGAGAATCAGCTTCCAGCTTTTAAGCATAAGGAACAGATTTCATAGAATCATAGAATTTCATAGAGTCATAGCCAGTGGAGGTTGGAAGGGACTGGAAAGGTCGTCTAAGCCAAGCATGCACTTCTATGCCGTTACAACACCCTGAAACAGAATTCCTCCAGTCTCAGCATGAATGCGTCT